CCTCAGCCTCAGCCTCAGCCTCAGCCTGCTTCAGCCTCAGCCTCAGTCTGCCTTCAGCCTCGGCCTCATCCTCAGCGTGCCTCAGCCTCAGCCTGCATCAGCCTTAGCCTCAGCCTCAGCCTGCCTCAGCATCAGCCTGCCTCAGCCTCAGCCTCAGCCTGCCTCAGCCTCAGCCTCAGCCTGCTTCAGCCTCAGCCTCAGGCTGCCTTCAGCCTCGGCCTCGGCCTCAGCCTCAGCCTGCCTCAGCCTCAGCCTGCCTCAGCCTCAGCATCAGCCTGCCTCAGCATTCAAAACGTAGCCCGGGAATGGAGTTCTGGGAAGTCGAAGAACACGACGTGGCCTACAGTTGGCTCCGGGCATTCAAATGCATGCCCAGGAATGGAGTTCTGGGAATTTGAAGACCACGAAGAAAATGTGGCCCGGGAGTGGAGTTCTGGGAACTCGAAGAGCACGAAGTGGCCTACAGTTGGCTCCGGGCATTCAAAATGTGGCCCGGGAATGGAGTTCTGGGAACTCGAAGACCACGACGTGGCCTACAGTTGGCTCCGGGCATTGAGAATGTGGCCCGGGAGTGGAGTTCTGGGACCTCGAAGAGCACGAAGTGTGTAACTGTTGGCTTAAAAATGTCCCCGGCACCCTCCCCCGGATCGCGCCCAGACCCCCCTGGGGCGTCGTGATGTTCTCTTTTGACCCTACTAGAAACCTATCAGTTTTCGCTGTTAGGTAAAAATTGGAGCGGGCGGTTTTTGGCAGCTTTAGGCCTCCAGGGGCCCTCGCCAGGGCTCGGGAGCGTCAACAAATTTTTCAGGACGAAAAAAACCGGTCCTGGCGAAGTTGTCCAGACCACCTGGGTCCACGCACCAAACAAATTGGAGCAGCCGGATGTATGGGTTCTTCCCCCATCAGTGCTTGCACTGAAGGGGTCCTAGCAGGAATTGAAGGATTTGGCGAAGGTTTCCCGCCGATTTTGGTCGCTGGCTGGGTCCCCGGGTTCCCGGGTTCCTGGTTATTGGGTCTGGGCCGATTTCGGTGGGTTCCGGGTTACCCGGTTCCCAGTCGATCTTCCTATCGATATTTTATTCGATCCCATTTCAAAGCATCCATTGATTGGGATTTGTCTCTGGTGTGGTGTATTTTGTTCTGCTGGAGGCGAGCGCGCGCGTCAGGGCGCCCGTCGCGTGAGTGGCGGGACCTGGATGCCCAGGAAAAAATAAAACAGACATGCACTGGGGACGGATGCTCGTGCCGTCTCTGGCTCTCTCGGTGTACATGGTTTGATGTGTCTCACCGGTCCTCCAGAAATCCGACGGTCGGGGGAAATGCCCGACCCGAGTGCAGCATCGGCGTGCTCCGCCGCCACATCAGGCGGCACCCGCCTCGTGCTTCGCGCGGGCCTCTCCCGGAGCGGTGGGCCTGCTGGCCCGCGCGCAGGCGCCCCACGAGCCCGCAGCCCGTGTTAGAGCCTGCGCCCGCTCCGCCCGGCCCTGCGCGCCCGGCGGCTGCTGCACCCCCGGCTGCTCATCGTCGAGCTCTTCGGCGTCGGAGCGTCCCGCCTTCCTCTCGGCCGTCCCCCCCCCCCCCCTGACTCCAGATCCGCCCTACTTTGGGGAGATTCGTAAGCAGGGCTTGGAATTTCCGCCTTACTTTTCAAGCCCCGCTGATGCCGATTTCCGCCCTACTTTTCTGCTGCTGTTTCCGCCCTACTTCTGTGGATTTCCGCCCTACTTCTATGTTGAGTGCAGAAATTCCGGCTTCTTATAGGTGGATACCCGACGCAATTGTAAGTTGGAAAAAAAGCCAAGGCAGGGCGGATTTGGACTCAGGGCCATTCCCTCTTTGCTCGCCGGCCGATTCGCTAGATGGTGTCCCTATCTAGCTTCTCGCTGGAGCGGAATGCGCCGCCTCGCCGCTGACGAAAATTATCCCGGCAAAGCAACCGAACAGCGATGTGTAGAAGCATAGCTGGAAACATTGCCTGTGGTATTCATGTAAGAGTGCCGTTGTAGAATTCTGGTGTTCTCGCAGTCGCATTCGGATTCGCAGTGGCAGTCGCAGTGGCAGCAGCAGCAGCAGCAGTAATAGTAACAGTAGTAGTAGCAGTAGAAGTAGTAGTGATGGTAGTAATGGTAACAGTGAAGTAGTAGTGATGGTAGTAGTGAGTCTTGGGAGTCTGGGAAGTGGAAGAGCACGAAGTAGCGTACAGTTGGCTCCGGGCATTCAAAATGTGGCCCGGGAGTGGAGTTCTGGGAAGTGGAAGAACACGAAGTGGCCTACAGTTGGCTCCGGGCATTCAAAATGTGGCCCGGGAATGGTATTCTGGAAGGTCAGAGAGCACGAAGTGGCCTACAGTTGGCTCCGGGCATTCAAAATGTGGCCCGGGAGTGGAGCTCTGGGAGGTCGAAGAGCACGAAGTGGCCTACAGTTGGCTCCGGGCATCCCAAATGTGGCCCGGGAATGGAGTTCTGGGAAGTCGAAGAGCACGAAGTGGCTTACAGTTGGTTCCGGGCATTCAAAATGTGGCCCGGGAATCATGTTCTTGGAGGTCGAAGGGCACGAAGTGGCTTACAGTTTGCTTCGGGCATTCAAAATGTGGCCCTGGAATGGAGTTCTGGGAGGTCGAAGAGCACGAAGTGTGTGACTGTTTGCTTAAAGCGAGCCCGGCCCTGAGCCCGGCCCTCGCTATGCGGATGCCGCCCAGACCTCCCTTCTGAGTCATCAGATGCTGTTTTTTGACACCACTAGAAACCTATCAGTCTTCGTTGTTAGGTAAAAAGTAGCCCGATCGTCGTCCGTTTGGGGGCCTCTCTGGAAGCTCCTCGTCGCCGCGGGCGGATCCACACTCAAGAAGCGCGCCGGGGTCCTGTTTTTGAGCGGATCTGGGGCGGGGGCGGGGATGCCGAGCGTCGGAGGCGGACGAAGACATTGCGTGACCATGGAGCCTTTAGAAGTTCGCGCGGGAATTTCTTCGGGCGGCGCTCGGCTCCCTGGCGGCGCTTCCGGCGCCGCCCCTGGCGCGCCCCGCGTGCCGGGGAGGGGGGCCTGGCGCCGATCCGAGAAATTTGCGCGGACCTCGCAGCAGAAACATCCCGAGCTCCGCGCGAGCCTTGTGGATTGGCGCAGTGTGTGGCAGAGCCCAAAGAGGCACATGCGTAGAGACAGTCTGCGCATCTGTCTGCGAGGACGGCCGTCTCCAGAGGGGGAGGAGGTGGGCCCCGGTAGCGTCACGATCCGCGCGCCAGAGCCGTGTCTGCGTGAAGTGGCTAGCGCCAGCCGTCCCCGGACGGCGCAGGTGCGAGCAGGGCGTCCCAGTAACGGGCGTTATCTCGGATCGCTGCAACGCGCGCCCAGAAGTCATGGTGCTTGTGCCTATGCCGTTCTCTTCCCCTCCAGAGGCGCTGGCGCGCCTCGGCTCGTGGCTGCAAGGCGGGGGGCTGAGGTCGGCATCGCCCAACCGACCTCCAAGCCATTGGGCCATGGCATCTCGGCCGCACGCCCGGTAGGTGGGCAGAGGCCCCGCGAAGCCCGAAGGACATGGCATAGGGCGTGTCCCTCTACAGGAGGGAATCCTCAAAAATAGTCAAAACATACTCTGGGGACGATTTTCCTACTACTTTTGACTATCTGTATTTTTTGTGTGTGTGTGTGCGTCTGTCGTCCAAAACCCGCCTGTAGGAGGACATGCCCGACCTCATATCAGAGTGAGGGGCCCGAACGGGATTACACCATCCCTGGGTGCGTGCCTACAGTGGGCTTGCGCGGTGAATATTGAACCTTCATTCTTGAAGAATCATTATTGCTGATCCCCCCTCACCGGTGCATTTTCTGATTTTCCAATTGAAGTGCCCCCTCTCGGGGCTCGCACCCTCTCTTTTATCAGGGAAAGTCTTCCAGCTCAAGCTGGATTGCTGGACCCCGGACAACAGAAATAATGGCTCCCGCTTTATGCTTCCTCATAATTATTCCAAAATCGCGCTCTCGCGTGGGACGCCTTCGCAATTTACTCAAAAGCCGCGCCCTCGACACTCAGGAATCACGCTCTCGTTGTGGATTTCCTTATTATTCATTTGGGAATCGCGTTATCTCTCGAGAGTTCCTCTTTGGCCCGCCTTGCCGACCCGCCCGTGAGGGTCGACCCACCCGATCTGCTCGTCTGGTTCTGCCACAGTGTTTCTGCTCCTAGCCCCCCTCCTGCTACTCTCTCTGGTGTTCCATCCTCCTCCCCCCCCCGTTGTCCCTTCCTTCCATCCGTCCTCCCTTCCCCTGCCTCAGGAGCTGCACGGAATACACGTTGCAGGTAAGAAAGATATTTGCGTGTTATATTCATGTGTATGTGTATATTTATATATATGTATATATATATATATATGTAGTCTCTCTCTGTCTGTCTGTCTCTCTCTCTCTCTCTCTTCTATTTCTTTCTCTTTAAATATTCATATATGTATACGCATATGTTTATACGCATGTCTGTATGTATGTCTCTCTCGCTCTCTCTTTCTCTCTCTCTCTCTCCCTCTCCCTCTCTATATATGTATATAGGGACTTTTATTGCACACCCCAATGGAGGTACAACCGAAAACGAAAACGGAGGGCATGCAGGGTTTTGGCTATACATCTTGCGTGGCCCGCGGGCAGATAAGAGCGAACAGTCTGAACATGAGTGTTGTTGTTGTTGTTGTTGTTGCTGTTGTTGTTCTGATTGTTGCTGTTTCTGTTGGTGGTTGTGGTGTTGTTGGTGTTGCTCTTGCTGTTGCTATTGTTGTTGATGTTGTTGCGGTTGCTGTTGAACTCTCATTACTGCAACAATTATTTTTGACCCCCCCCCCTGCAGTGCCCATTGTTTTGTTCAATTGAAGTGCTTCCCCTGGGCTCGCATCCGTTTTTTTATGAGGGAAAGTCACTCGATTCAAATTGTGTCCCTGGCCCCCGGTTTACAACAACAGCGGCTCCTGCCTGATACTGTCTAACAGTGTATTCCCAAATCGCGTTCTCGCGCGAGAACTCCTTGCAGTTTGTATACGAATCGCGCTCTCGCGTGGGACTTCCTGGCAGTTTATTCAGACGATGCGCCTTCGGCGCTCAGGAATCACGCTCTCGCTTTGGCTTTTCTCATGATTTACTTGGGAACCGCGCTATCACTCGAGACTACTCACGATGCATGCAGCACCAACGCTTCAGCAACCCGCCTGCTCGACCTAGTCGCCTGGGCCCGCCTTCCTGACTTGCCCGCTATGGGTCTGCCCACCCGATCTGCCCGTCTGGTTCTACCACTTGTTTTCTGCCCCTGGCCCCCCTCCTGCTAATTTCTCTCGTTCTCCATTCTTCTCCCTCCCACTTCCACCCGTCTTCTCTTCCCTTGTTTTGGGGGCTGCACTAAATGCACGTGGCAGGTAAGGAAGATATACCCCCAAGGGGGTAACCGGGTACGATCGAAGACGACAAGGGCGGGTACTGATGATGTGGGATATACGTATTGAGTGGCACGTGAGCAGATGTGAGCGAACAGTCTTAAAATGATTGTTGTTGTTGATTGTGGTGGTGTTGTTGCTGAATGTTAATTACGAAACAATTATTATTGTTGGACCCCCCACCCCGGCGCTTTGGCGCTCTCGCCCCGGCGCCGGCTACATTTTCATTGACAATGGGCCTCACTCTCGAGCAGTTTGGGGGGGCGCCAACACCGGCCCCCCAACAACAGCAACAACAATAACAACAACAACAACAGCAACAACAACAATAACAACAAGGCTCCCGCTCGAGATTTCCTCCTTGTTTACTCAGGGCCGGTGCTCTTGCTCGCCGTCGAAAGCCGCCGTCCCAACAAAACCAGCGCTCCCGCTCGAGACTTCCTCCCGTTTTGCATTGGATTGTCGCGCTATTCTTTCTCTCATCGGCGCCGCCCCCAGCAACAACAACCCTCCCGCTCGAGACATCCTCCTTTTTTCCTCAAGGCGGTGCTCCTCCTCCCGCCGACAACCGCGGTCCCAACAAAACCAGCGCTCCCGCCCGAGACTTCCTCTCGTTTCACGCTGGACTGGCGCCCTATTCTCTTTTGATTCGGCGCCGCTCCCAGCAAGAGCAACGCTCCCGCTCGAGGCTGCCTCCCTTTTTCCTTAGGACGGTGCTGTTCCTCGCCGCGACAGCTCCCGTCCCGACAAAACCACGGTTCCCACTCGAGGCTTCTTCCCTTCTTTCTCAAAGCGGTGTTCCTCCTCGCCATCGACATCCGCGGTCCAAACAAAACCAGCGTTCCCGCTCGAGACATCGTCTTGTTTTACGCTGGACTAGCTAGCGCCCTACTCTCTTCGGCATTGGCGCCGCTCCCAGCAACAACAGCGGCCCTGCTCGAGGCTTCCTCCCTTTCTACTCAGGGCCATTTTCTCGCCTCGCCGCCGACAGCCCCTTTCCCCACCAAGGCAATCCTGTCGCTCGATACTTCCTTGTGCTTTACCCTTGGCTGGGGCTCCATTGGCGGTCTATCATCGGCGCAGCAAGGCGCGGGCATGCGTTTTCGAGGCGGGATGTGTTGCAATTCCTCGGGGGAGGTGTTTGCAAGACCTCATTGGGCGGGAAATCTGGGAATGGGATAACGGACCCCGCTATAGAACAATAATCCCCAATGATGGGAATGGTGATCATGATGGTCGCATGCTTAGTGTGGAGTCATCGCGCACGACGAAAAATGATTGGTGTTATTGTTGTTGTTGGTGGTGGTGTTTGTGTTGTTATAGTTGCATATTCATTTCTGAAGAATGATTGTTGTTGGTCCCCAGAAACGGTTCCGCGCGCTTTCGCCTCGACGCCGTCTACATTTTCGCTGAAAACGAAGTTCCCGCTCGAGCGTTGGCTTGACCCTAGATGTGGGCCCTTGGAGGCCCAGCTACGACAACAACGGCTCCCGCTCGATACTTCCTCGCAATTTACCCCGGGACACCCTGGCCAGAGAGGCCCCCAGACTCAGGAATGGCGCTCTCGGCCGAGACTTCCTCGCAATTCAATTAAGTTGGCGGAGGCCCAGCCACGACGACAAGGGGTCCTACTTGCTATTTCCTCACGACTTACTCTGAGAGCCCCTGGCCAAGAAGGCCCCCGAAGTCAGGAACTACGCTCTCGCTCGAGAGTTGCCCGTAATTCAGGCAAGTTGGTGGAGGCCCAGACATGGCGACAAGGGCTTCCGTTCGATATCTCTCCATAGGTATTTCGAGAGCCCTTGTCCAGAGAGGCCCCCGAACTCAGGAACGGCGCTCTCGCTCGAGACTTTTTCGCACTTCAGTCAGTGGCCGACAAGGAAGAGATTCCCCCGAAAGGGGGTGCAATCGAAGACGAAGAGGGCGGGTATCGAGGGTTGGGGTATACGGAATGCAAAACACGCGTGCCAGTAAGAGCGAGCCGTCTTAAAATGATTGTTGTTGTTGCTGTTGATTTTGTTGTTGCTGTTGGTGTTGTTTTTGTTGTTGTTACTGTTGTTGGTATTAGTGTTGTTGTTGTTGTTGTTGTTGTTGTTGTTGTTGGTGGTGGTGGTGGTGGTGGTGGTGGTGGTGGTGTTGGTGTTGGTGTTGGTGTTGGTGTTGGTGTTGGTGTTGGTGTTGGTGTTGTTGTTGGTGGTGTTGTTGTTGTCGTTGTTGTTGCTGTTCTTGTTGCTGCTGCTGCTGCTGTTGTTGTTGTTGTCGACGTCCTCGCCTGCGTCCTTCCCGCGACCAACCCGCCCACGACCTCGCCCCCCGCGACTCACCCCGCGACCCAGCCCGCGACCTAGCCCGCGCCCGCCCCGTCACCCTTCTCCGCAGCTGCGGGGTGCCGCGCAGCACTTCCACCCAGGGGCGCAGGGCCAGTGCGGCCGAGGCCACGCCAGGGGGCGACAGGGATCGGCAGGCCGATGCCCGAGAGGGCCTACAAGGGCACCTTCCGGCGGCTGCTCGGGGACTACTCCTCGCGCCTCTCGGCGCCCCTCGCCCTCGGCTGCCTCTCGCCCCGGCGCCTGTGCGCGGAGGCCCTGGACGCCTCGCCTCGGGGCGGGCCCCACGTGGAGCACTTCGTCTACGAGCTGTGCTGGAGGGACTTCTTCCGCCACGCCGCGCGGAGGTGGTCAAAAGGAGGAAGAGGTGCTTACCAACACCCTGTGCTTCGTGTTCGCCTCGTCGGGCCTCTCCACGAGTGGAGTCGTTTCGGAGTCCTGGCCGGAGCGCACCTGGGGAGGCGACCGGGCCCGTGCCGACGAGCATCTCCAGACGAATCCGGCTGCGGCGACGAGGACCTCCCAGGAGATCCCAGGGGCGAAAACGAGTCAGGGGTTGGCGGCATCGGTCTCTTGCTGTCTCTGTCTCCCCGAAGGCTTGCCGCACACCCACCTTCTCCGCTGGCCTCCGGGGCCAGAGGCCGCCTCCGCGCGCCCGCCACCCGCCGATTTCCTTCGGCCGGGCCTCCCTCCCCCCGTCCGCCTCCGCGCGCGCCCATCACGAGTGCGCTGCGTGTCAGGCCGGCGTCGAGCGTGAGCCGCCTCTGTGCGACCGTTCTCTGCCTTCTCCGCCTGCGCGACAGCCAGTGCGCCCAGTGCCCCGCCCGGCCCGCGGGCCCTGCACAGTCGCGCTCGCGCCCGCCAGGGCCTGCCAGCAGAGGCGAGGCAGCGGGCCGCGGGGTCGGCATCCCGCGGTGCCCCCAGAGGTGGGCTGGCAGCCTGTTCCTGCGCGACGGCCCGCTCGGGCAGGCCAGGGGCGCTGCCCGCGAGTGGCGGCGGGACGCCGAGGCGGAGGACAGGTGGCGCAGGGGCGCGCTCGGCGTGCCGCTGGTGGACGCGACGCTGAGGGAGCCGACGGGCAGCGTGAGAGGGGGGGGGGTCGGCCCAGTGGGGGCGGAGCTTCTCGGTGCGAAGTGTTCGGGCGCTCTCGTCGGCTCTCGGCGGCCTTCCAGCCTCGGGATGCCTTCCAGCGGCCGTGCCTCGCCGAGAGCGCTCCATCGGCGCCCAGATCGTCCCGAATGGCCGCCCGAGGCCCGAGTCATGGCCCGAAAACCATCGAGGGGGGGGCCATCGCCCCCCAATCGCCGAGTCATCGCCGAGAGGGGCCCGATAGTCCGCCCCGCCCAGCCACGGGCGGCCTCGCCATCGCTGGCCTCTCTCCGATCTATCGGCGATGCCTCGCCGATTCCAGCTCGCTGGTTCCCCCCTTTTAAGCCGGCCCCCCCCCCGGGTGCTGCCCCTCAGGAGCTGAGGGCGACCGGCTACATGGGCAACCTGGCCCGGCAGATCGCGGCGGCCTTCCTCGTGGAGGAGCTGCGGGTGGACTGGCGGGTCGGGGCGGACTGGTTCGAGGCCCTGCTGGTGGACTACGACCCGCACAGCAACTGGGGCCAGTGGGCGCGCTCCGCCGGCGTGGTCCCGACAAACGAGGCGAAGCGGGGGCGCGTGGGCGGGACCCGGTGCTCGAGGGAGAATCGATTTGAACACAGCTTTCCGTTCTCCCTCCCCTTCCAAGTGGGCGCTGCGGTGCTGCGTTCATAAACGCCCGCATTTCCGCCCTTCGGGTGGATCTTGCTTCTGGCCGTCCGCTCCCATCAACCTACGGAGGTTCGCGCGGATTCCATGGTTTGACGCTCGTCCCCCCGTAAGTGTCGGAGATTCGAGCTGATTTCTTGGTTCGGCGCTCGGCCCCCCCTGGCGGCATCAACGGCGCCGCCGCTGGCGTGCTCCATGCGTCAAGGAGGGGTGGGGTGGGGCCCAGCTTCGATCCACGACGTCCGCGCGGACCTTCGGGAGTTTCTGTTCATTCCCAAAACAGTGCTTGCACTTAGTAGTCCTTCCTTGTTGCTGAGGAACTGGGCCTGTCTGTCGGTCTGGCGGCTATGTTGCCGCCGTCGTCGCCCCGTCACCACCTCGTCGCCGCCCGTCGTCTGGGCCTGTCTGTCGTCGCCGCGCTTGTTGCCGCCGTCGCCGCCCCGTCACCGCCTCGTCGCCGCCCGTCGTCGGGGCCTGTCTGTCGGTCGCCGCGCTTGTTGCCGCCGCGTCGCCGGCCCACAAATTGTACATCTGCACAACGTATATTTCACCACTTACATTGCACCACATATATTGTGCACCACATCGGAGGTTGGGGGGTGAGATTGCACGGAGAGCCCCCCACCGGGAAATCGGTTTCGGTTCCGTGTTCGTGTTGCACGTGCGGGCGAGGCGAAGCTGCGTGAGCGCGCGACAGGAATGATCCTGCCGTCGCTAGGGCGATTCAGATGCAGTGGACCGCCCCTCCGTCCCCGGTGGGCGCGCGCTGGGCCAGGGTGTCCCGCCGTGGTGTCCTGTGGTGTCCCGTTGGTGCGGCGGTTGTCGGGCGGTGGCTGGGGGTGTCCCGCCGTGGTATCGATAGTGAAGTCGATGGTGAGATCGATAAAGAGATCGCTAGAATGGAGCGGATGATGAGATCAAAAGTGAGATCGACAGCGAGGTTCATTGTGGCACTGGTTATGAGATCGATCTTGAGATCGATAGTGGCATCAATCGGGGAATCGATATTGTGATTGATCGTGAGACCGATCGTGGGATCGAAAGCGATATCTGTAGTGAGATCGATAGTGAGATGCATAGTGACATCGATCGAGTGTGACGGATCCTATGAGGTCGAGGGTGGGATCGATTTAGTGAGATCGACAGCGGGGGGGATAGTGACATTACATCGCAGCGCAGCATCTCGTCATCACGCGTCGTCGCTTACTCGAGTGCGCGTCACCAGCATCGTTATCAACACACCCATGGCATTTGCCAGACTTTGGGTCTCACCCCCCTCACCCAACCTACTTCTAACCCGAAGGGTGGTCGTATAGGTGGACTTCCCTTTCTGAACAAGAATTGGGGCCTATTCCCCCCCTTGGATTATCAGCCCGCCCTGGGGATATGCAGTTTACATAATACGATTCTGCCCCATCGTTCATTCTAAATATGCGCCCGTAGCATCCCAGCCCAGCTGGCACTGACCCCCCGCCATCCTGTGCAACAGATACTATGTGCGCACACTCGTTGGGACGGGCACGATCCCTGTCACATAATATCATGCGGGCCACTCGCGCGCGTCGACCGCGCGTGCATGTCGAAGCCCGACCACAACCTATATCACCGACGCGACGACACCGTCCGCGTCATCTGGATGATCAACGTCGGCGCCGTCATTGGCTTTGCCGTCCTCCCGTCTTCATCGTCACCATCGCCACCACCATCTATTTTAGGATTATAGTGTCTGCCGTTGTCGACGTCGTCATGATACCGCGTCCGCCCAGGTCACCGACGGAGACTGAAGTGCCCGCGCGTCAGCGAGACGCGCTGGGAAGTGCCCGGCGGTCAGCGCCATTGCGGCCGCGTCGGTCGCGCCACACTAGTTGGCCGCTGCGCGCACGAGCATGCGCGGGCTGGCGCGACCGAGAGATGCACCAGCCGGCGCCAAGCACTCATCACAGTCGCCGCCGCCTGGGTTTTGCAAGCCAGGCGGCGTGCGGGTGGGTGGGATGATTGCGCGAGCAGTGGGTTTGGAAACTCCAAGATCGAGAATCCGTCTCAAAAGAGCATTAGGATCTACCCCCCCCTTTAAATTAACGCCACCCCTTTTCGTAAGGCAGTGTACATCTGGCTCTGCCCATACCATTCCAGGCAGGCCAGATTTTTCAGGATCGAGCATCCTTCCCAAAAGAGAAGTCGGATCTACCACCCCCTTTTTGAATTAACGCCACCCCTTTCGCAAGGCAGTGCGCATCTGGCTCTGCCCCATACCATTTCCAGGCAGGCCAGGGGCCGCCCCCTTTCATCCGCTGCGACATCTGTCCACAAGTTATAGTTTTCGCCAGAATTTCGACATCAGGTGCCTCGAATTTCGACATCAAGTGCCTCGACATCAAGTTCTAGTTTTCGCCAGAATTTCGAAATCAAGTGCTTCGACAGCATTAAAACATACATGGCTTCTCAACGCGGGCACATTGTTTTAAAAGCCTGCGCACGTGCTTGTGCAGATTCACAAGAAACCGTGGGTTTGCTTTCAACTGTTTCATAACATGCGGCCGCACGGGCCTATCGCGCGCGCGCGTGTCGGAGTCGTTTGAGCGCCCTTGCGCGCGTATTGTCGCAAGAGCCCTCAGCAACACATGCGACGAATTGCGCACGCGCGCGTCGTCGCGCGCGCATGCCGAAAACATTCAAAAAACGTAGGTCTCGTAATAATATCAAAAAACGAGTGTCCCGGAAGCATATCACCAGTTTTTTTAGGCCTGCGCGCGCGCTCTTGCGAATTGTCTTTTAAACAAACGCGTAGTTTTTTATTCAACATTGCCACATGATTCTGCCAAACGGGTCTTTTCGCGACGCATGCCGAACTCATCCGAACGCCCTTGCGCGCGTGCCAGGGCGGGCACGATCCGTGACACATATTTCCACGCGGGCCACTCGTGCGCGCCAGCCACGCCCTCATGCCGAATACCTTCAAAACTTTCATCGCCGACGCGAGGACATCGTCATCGTAATTGGCGGGCGTGGTAAACATCGGCGCCGTCATTGGCCTTGCCGCCGTCATCGCCACTATGTTCACCATCTTCGCTACTCTCATAATCGTAACTACCGTTGTCGGCGTCGCCATGATACCGCGCCTGCCCAAGTCACTGACTCGCACTGAAGTGCAACCGCGGCCGCGTCGGTCGCGCCGCACTATAGCTGCCCGCTGCGCGCGCGAGCATGCGCGGGCCAGCGCGGCCGCAGAGATGCACCAGCCGGCGCCAAGCACTTATCGCAATCGCCGCCGCATTGCTTTTGCAAACCAAGTTGCGGGTGGGTGGTTGGGATGATTGCGCGTGCAGTGGGGTTGACAGCTCACTGCGGACAAACATTAGGTGCACCACATAGATTGCTCCATGTCGGTCGAAGCACACCGTTTGGGGCCCCCGCTGGCTAACATCTCGCTTGCAGCCCCAACCTGTCAAAGCGGGTTCACTCTTCCGCAGGCCCTTTTCTATGGTTGCTTCTCCGGCGCTTTTCGTGCACTGGCGCCCGTGCGATTCTGGTGGCCAAAACACGAGGTTCGTCCTCCATTCGACGTTTCTTCTGGCAGCAACTTCCCCTGATATCCGACGCTGCCAAGAAGATTGTAACATCGTGAAAAGTCGCGATCGAAGCCCCAGACCCCGTCTGTCTGCTACATTTTTCTAGCCAGATCGATCTTGAAGGGCCCCTGGGTCCGAAAACGGGCGGCATCAAAAAATGAAAGCATCGCCCGGATCGTGGGTTTTGGCTGCGTGCCGTTGTCTTTTCCTCGATGCCCGCGGTCGCCTGGCTGACTACTTCCGTCCTGAGGGCGGCACAGTGCGCCACTCGGAGCTGGCAGTGGCGGCTTGGAGCGGCTGCTGAAGGAATTCTGCGACAGCATTTCCGCTCTCTCTCTCTCCTCATCCAACGCTTGGTGCAAGGCACGGTCGCTCGCTCGCGACTTCTCCTCGAGATCCGACGACGCGAGAAAATGGCAACATCGTGAAACATCACGCACGCAGCCCCAGACCCCATCTGTTCGCCGCGGGCTCCATGCCGGATGGCATCCGTGAGGGTCACGAGGCGCGACATCGTGCGGCACCGCCCGGGCCGAACAGACTGCGACGTTGGACTCCAGGTCATCTTTTTTTGATTCGTTGTTTTGCCGATCGGCGCGGCCCCCCTCCCCCTTCGTCCCCCCCTCCATGGAGTAGATCCTGGCTGTTTTTGTTGGCGCCTGTCTCGAGCGGGTGGGGTCTCCCCCAGATCTGGACGCCCGAAATGGGTACTGAAAGAATGGGTACTATGCCCAACAGCGGATCTTGTTCATTTTGAACAAGATCCGCTGTCCACGCCGCCGCGGCTTGTGTCCATTCGAGACAGGAGGCCGCCCGCCCAACAGCGGCCGCTGTTGGCTTGGGACAACATTTGCTGTTGGGCATAGTGCCCATTCTTTCAGTACCCATTTCGGGCGTCCAAGCCAGAGGAGGTTGCACTCTCCCCACCGGTCGCACGAACAATATGCAGAGTCGTCTGGAGCCAGACGCCCCCCCCCCCTTTCCGCCCAATGTCGACACGTTCATTTTCTATATAAAAAAGTTACACCAGAGAAAAAAACCCAATCAGTGAGTGGTTTTCGCTGAGGAGATCGACCGGGAACCCGGGAGCCCGGGAACCCAGAACCCACCGAAATCGGCCCAGTGAGCCAATCACCGGGACCCCGGGAACCCGGAACTGGGAACCCGGGAACCCAGCCTGCTAGATCGGCGGGATTTGTTAAATCTTTCAACTTCCGCTAGGACCCCTTCAGTGCAAGCGCTGATTTGGGGATAGAACCGAACAAAACGTCCATTCAGCAGGGCTTCCTCCAGGTACCTCGACCTCGCGCTCGGCCTGGACGGCGGGGAGGCCTTCCGCTACGTGCGGTCCTGGGTGCCCGAGCTCGCCGCCCTCCCGGACGCCGAGCTCCTCGCGCCCTGGCGCGCGGCGGGCGGCGCGGGCCCCGCGGGGGGCTACCCCCGCGAGCCGCTGTGCTCCCCCGAGCTGCGCCGGTACTTCGAGGCCGCGCCCGCCGCCGGAGGCCCTCCGGCCACCGCCACTCTCCGTCTTCGTCGTCGTCGTGGTTGTCGTCCTCGTCGTCCTCGTCGTCGTCCTCGTCGTGGTGGGTGGTCATTGTCGTCGTCGTCGTCCTCGTCGTCGTCGTCGTTCGTCGTGGTCGTGGTCGTCGTCGTCGTCGTCGTCGTCGTCGTCGTCGTCGTCGTCGTCGTCGTCGTCGTCGTCGTCGTGGTCGTGGTCGTCGTCGTCATCGTCGTCGTCGTCGCGTCCGACGTCGGCGTCCCGGTTGTCGTCGCCGCAGTGCCCGTCGCCCGCTCATCGGGCGCCCCCTTTGCCCCGGCGGCGCGCAGACGGGGGTGGCGCGAGGGGGAGGGCCCTCCAGGAGGAGGAGGAGGAGGAGGAGGAGGAGGAGGAGGAGGAGGAGGAGGAGGAGGAGGAGGAGGGAGGGCCCTCCAGCTTAGCTGCCCCGGTACGCGGGTGCTGAAACGCAACGCGTGCCGTGCTCAAAACGAACCGCGTTGATTAGCACACCACGTGCTGGCGGAACGGGTCGGCCCACGTGTGGCCGAACGCGGCGCGCCAGGCGTGCGCGTTTAGTCTATACGTGTTGAGCTCCGTGCCGGCACGCTACGGGTTGCGTGCTGCGTAATGGAGGATGACGATTAATAAATGACCGGGGGTCGTGTTCACGCGGCGGCGCCCGGGATGAAGATTAGAGAAAAACCGGCCGCGGGCTGGAAAACTATTTTCTTTAATCGTTCTCCGCCAGTGAGAAATTTGTGCAGACATGACAGGAAACTATTTTTTTAATCGTTCCCCCCTCATTTTTTAGTAATCGTCATCCCGCATTATCGGGGCGGCTGGGCCCTCCAGTCCCAGACCCCCTCGGGCCATAAAGAAATCACGGCGCCGGGTTGCTTGCCAGTGCTCCGCCTGTGGGGGGCCCTCGCCGGGGCCCGGGGCCGTCGAAGACTGGCCTCGGATCAAGCAGCCAGTCTGTCCCTGTGAACGGGTCGAGACCGCTGGGGGTCACGCAAGGTCATGAGTCGGGGGTCTGGGTTCGGGTCGGACGAACCCTGCAGTCCAGGCTCGCAGTTTCTTCACGCCACACGTTTGCGCCCGCTTGCAGGACCCAGGGCCATCACAGATCGATACGGCTCGACACATGCCGCAGAAACGTTCTGTCCGGGGCTCTGGCCGTGGTTTTTCACGCTGTTGCACTTTAGTCGTGACGTCGAATTCACGAAATGGGCTGTGTGCGCTTGGTTTCGGCCTCGCCGCCGGGCGCTTTCCTAGCTAGTTACGTGTGCGCCTCTGGCGCCAATTTGCTGTAACCCTCCCTTCGACTCGGTGCGGCACCCTGACTTCGGATCCGCCGTGTGTGGGCTGATTTTCCCCGATCTCCGACGCGAGAAGCCAGGACGGGAGTCTCCGCCTCGGAACTAGGGCAGACCCTTCCACCCAGGCGTGGGTGGAAGCATCGACGGCACAGTTGGGCGGAAATCGGCACCGGGGGAGCTCGCCGAGTGCAGCGGGGATTTCAGAGGCGACGATAGGGGCGAGTAGCCCAGGTGAGAGCAATACTTGTATCCAGGGGCGCCGATGATCTATGTCTTCGACAAGGCTCCCGGGCGAATACGTGTAATGCCCGCCCCTGGGCTATTCGCCCATATCGTCGCCGCCGAGGATTCTCCCGCCCTGCCTGCGGACAAAAAAATTACACCAGAGAAACATCCCAATCACTGGATGGTTTTCGCAGAGGAGATCGACTGGGAACCCGGGAGCCCAGGAACCCAGAACCCACCTAAATCGGCCCAGAGCCAATAACGGGGACCCCGGGAACCCAGAATTCTGGGAACCCGGGAACCCAGCCTGCTACCAGAATCGGCGGGAAATGTTCGCCAAATCTTTCAACTTCCCGCTAGGACCCCTTCAGTGCAAGCACTGATTGGTGAATGTTTGTGCCGTTTTTTTTTGTTTTTGTTCTTCGAGGGAATCAGCTCCGGCCCCGCACTAAAGCTCGCACAGGACAGCGGATCCTGGTGTGTATACGGGATCCTGGTGTACAGTTACGCGCTTTTCGCTGCTTCCCCAGGACCCCTCCAGCTCAAGCACTGATTGGGGAGAAAACGAAACCTTCAGTGCATGCACCGAATGGGGAACAAACCGCCCCTCGCGAGTGCGGCGGAGCCGAAGGCCAGGGGCCAGAGGCGGTGCCGGCGGCCCGAGGGGCGGCGGCCGCGGCGGAAAGGGGCGCGCCCCGCGCTGGGGCGGCCGCGGCGCGCCCCTCTGAGGCGCGGGCGCGCCTCTCCTCCTCCTCCCTCCTCCTGCTTCTCCTCCTTCTGCTCCTCCTCCTCCTCCTGCTCTTCCTCCTCCTCCTCCTCCTCCTCCTCCTCTTCCTCCTCCTCCCCTCCTCCTCCTACTCCTCCTCATCCTCCTCCTCCTCCTCTCCTCCTCCTCCTCTCTTACCTCCTTCCTCCTCTCTACCTCCTCTGTGACCTCCTTAAGCTGCACTCTAACCTCTCCTCCTCCTCCTCCCCCCTCCTCCTCCTCCTCCTGCTCTTGCTCCTCCTCCTCCTCCGACCCTCCTCCTCCTCCTCGTGTCCTCTCTTCTCCTCCCTCCTCCTCTCTGCTCCTCCGTGCCTGACTCCTCCTCCCCTACGCCTCCTCGGCTCTTACTCCGCCCCTCTCTACCTCATCCTCCTCATCTCCCCTCCTGATCCTCCTCCTCCTCCTCCTCCTCCGTTATCCTCCTAATATCCTCCTCCTGCTCCTCCTCCTCCTCCTCCTCTTCCTCCTCCTCCTCCTCCTCCCTGCTACTCCTCCTCTTTCCTCCTCCTCCTCCTCCTCTCCTCTTCCTCCTCCTCTTCCTCCTTTCCTCCTCCTCATCATCCTCATTCCTCCCCTTCTCTCTACCCTCCCCTCTCCTCCTCCTCCTCCTTTCCTGCTCCCGGCTCCTCTCCTCTGCCTTCCTCCTCCTTCTACTCCTCTCCTCCTCCTCCTCCTCCACCTCCTCCTGCTGCCCTCCTCACTCCAGCCTCCTCCTCCTCTGCTCCTACTCATCCTCTCCTCTTCCTACTCCTTCCTCCTCCTCCTCCCTGTTCTCCTCCATCCTCCTCCTGTTCCTCTCCTCCTCCTCCTACTCCTCCTCATCCTCCTCCTTTGCCCTCCTCCTCTCCTCCCCTCCTCTCCTCCTCCTCCCCTAATCCTCCTCTCTACCTCCTCCTCCTCCTCCTCCTCCTCCTCCTCCTCCTCCTCCTCGCCCTCCTCCTCTTCCTCCTCCCCCCTTCCTGTCCTCCCCTCGTCTCATCCTCCTTCTCCTCCGCCTTCTCATCCTCCTTCTCTCGTCCTCTTCCTCTCCCTCCTCCTCCTCCTCCTGCTCCTCCTCCTCCTCCTCCTCCTCCTCCTCCTCCTCCTTCTCCTCCTCCCCCTCCTCCTCCGTCCTCCTCCGTGCCTGCGCCTCTGAGCCAGGGCGGACGCGTTGCGTCGCCTCGGAGGCGCCTGCGCGGGCGCGCGGCCCGGGCGAGGGGGAGCAGCAGAGCCATATTGTCGTGTCCTTGCGGGGGCCAGGCGGCCCACTGGGCGGGCCTGGCGCGCACCTCCCAGGGGGGGCTTCGTCGGAGGCAGGGGCGGCCGGGAGCGCCAGCAGCGCTCGCCCCTGGGCCAAGCCGCCCCTGCCAGCCGCCGGCGTTCAGGAGGGGAACAAAAACACACAGACACGTGTACTCGTCGATTCCTTGGAAAATATAGGAAACTATAGGAATTGGGGAGGGAAGGCGAAGCTCCAGAACACGTGAAACAATATGGGAAGCCCTTGGGATTCGTGTCTATTTATTTGTGTCCCAGGGCCCCTTCAGACGTCGTGGCCTGTGCGGGGTGGTTCATGGCTTCGAGGGTCCACGGGCCGATGTCCTGTCGGGGGGGGGCGGCGGCGCGCAGGTGAGCCGCGGCGGCGCTCTCCTCTGATGCCTTCGCGTCTGAAGAAAGGCCTCGGCGGACGGGGCTGTAAAACCCTTGTGGTCGTATCGGCTTCCTCCCTCCCTCCCTCCCTCCTCCCCCCTCCTCCTCCTCCTCCTCCTCCTCCTCCTCCTCCTCCTCCTCCTCCTCCTCCTCCTCCTCCTCCTCATCCTCTTCCTTCCTCTTCTCCTCCTCCTCCTCCTCCTCCTCCTCCTCCTCCTCCTCCTCGGTCCGGCGAGCAGAATCCGCAGAGGGTACTTATGCACCACCACGGTGCTTGATCAGGACCATTCTGGGCCCTAGGGTTGTCTATACCCTTCTGGACGAGGCCTGGAGGGTGTGAACGCCATCCCAGGGCCCAGGATGGTCCTGGCGAGGCACGGCGGTGGTGTACAGATGCTTTCTGCGTGCAGAAGGGGGGTGGGGCCAGCAGGACTCGACGACGACGACGACGGCGCCGGCGCCGTCGCCTCAGACTGCGTTGGAGGGCGTCTTTTCTGCAGTCTCCCGCGGTCCGGGGGCCCGTTGGAGGCTGGCTGTGGATGGGGCTGGGGCAAGGGCTGCTGCCCTTTTATCAGAGCTGCCATCCCAGACCACCAACGTCATGATTTTTTTATTAGGTCGACCTCCAGAGGTCCCGACCCATTCCCCGGGACTGGCTCTTTTTCCTGAGACTTTTTTTGACGGTGCCGGGGCCCGGGGAGGGCCCCCAGAGGCCAAATTTAGAGGACAACCGCCCGTCGTGATTTTCTCATTGCCCGAGGGGGTCTGGGAACCGGAGTTCTCGAGAGCATTGCTGTGCCTCCCGAGGGGCCCTCGTGGAGGCCTCCGACCCCTCGCGCCCCGCCATGCTTGGAAGGCCGCGACCCCCGCGCCCCCGCCCCCCCCTGCTGGCGCGCGGGTCTTGGTCCTTGGTCCTTCGGGGTCTTCGGATCTTGCCAGGATCTTGCCAGGATCCAGAGGCCTTGGTCCTTCGGGGGACCTTCCTGGAATCGAAGACGAAGGAGCGCCATAAACAGAAACTTGTGGCGCTCCGCGCGGGTTTCTTGGATCCGCTCTAGGCCCCCCCGGCGGCGCCGCCGACGACGCCCCTGGCGCGCTCCGCGCGCCAGGGAGGGGGGGTCCAGCGCAGATCCAAGAAATCCGCGCGGAGCGCCAAAAGTTCTGTTTATAGTTTTGTTTTTCTCCCATGGAAGGCCGCAGGCAAGGCTGCAGGGCTCCATCCGGCGAAGGCCGCGAGGACCTCTCTCTCTCTCAGGGCCTGCTCTTCTCGTGGGGCAGAGGTTTCCAGTGCGGCAGGGAGGTCAGGAGTGCTGCGCGCGGGCAGCGCTCGTCCGTTTTTTGCATGGGCCGATGGCCTGGCCACTTTTCCGCCGCCCTGGCCCAGAGGCCAAGAGTGCCCGCCCGCCTCCCCTCTTCGGTAAGTTCTCGCCGCGTGACCGCGGCGAGAACGTACCGAAGAGGGCTTGCGCACCCCTGGGCGTGCCAGATTTCCGACATGGGGCCTGGCCCCAGGGCCCACCCGCCCAGGCGCCATACCACCGGGGCCAGTGCAGAAGCCGCCCGCCGCGCCCCGCAGCGCCAGCAGCGTCGACGGGAGGAGCGAAGCAAAAGCATCAGCGAACAGCCGGCGATCTGCCAGCTCTGCCTCACGGAGGGCCCTCTTCCGAGCCCCCGGGGGGCCTCTCGAAGAAGCGACCCCCAGCGACGCACACCGGTGCCCGGGCCCACGCCGTGGCAGAGGCACGCCTCCCGAGGCCCGGGGCGTGCTCGTCAGCTCCCGCGCTCCCGGCTCCTCTTCCTCGTCCTCGTCCTCTCCCCACAGGGCGCCCGTTTCGAGAACGCGCGGCGGTGGGGGGGATGTGAGGACGGCGAGGAGAAGCGAGGATGAGGACGATGATGGCGGGGGAGGAAGGAGGAGGGCGAGGATGAGGACGAGGATGAGGACGAGGATGAGGGCGAGGATGAGGGCGAGGATGAGGACGACGAGGATGGGAGGGCGAGAAGGAAGGTTCGGATGGTGAGGAATCGGATGGGCAGGACGGCGGCAGGATCAGGAGGACGACTACCTCGCACGAGGTGGATGCAGGCAGGGAGCGGGAGGCGTTCTGGTATCGTGGATTTGCCGTGCACGCGGGGGCCCAGCCAACGCCTGGCCATCTTGGAAGTCAGAATTCCGTCGTGGAGGTTTCGACCCATCCAGGGTCCATCCGTCTCTGCGTGTTATGGACAATGGAGGTGGAATGGAGGATCGCCCTCGTCGTATTCCTCTTTCCTCTTACCTCCTTCCTCGTCGTTATCCTCCCTCCTCGTCCTCGTCGCCGTGGGGGTTCCCAGCGCGCCCCCTCTTCACAATCGCACAATCTCCACACCACCCCCTCTTTTACCCTGAAGTTGCCCAGAAGATGTCTGGCTCCCTCCGCGTTTGTTTTTGTACACAGGATGCCAGTTCTTCGTTCGTAAAGTTTTCACACGCAAATTTTGAATGTGTCAGCATGGTGCTCCTGTTGAAGTGTGGGCCTCATTTTCGGATCGGCGCGTTGCTCGCGTCGTTATGGCGGGTCTCGCCCCAGCGCGGACCACTTTTCTGGATCCGGGTCTTGCTTCGCTTAAGTCCCCCCCCATCATTCCCCCTTCCTCCGCCTTCGCCTGTTCCTCCCGTTCCCCCGCTCCTTCCACTCCAGTTTTTGCTGCTGCTGTTCGTCTCGCTCCAGCGCGGGCCACTGTTCGAAATCCGGCTCTTTCTTCATCACTGCCGTCCCCTCCGTTTCCCTTCCGGCTTCCCCTCGTCCTCCTTTCCCTCCCGGCCCTTCTGCTTCAGTTCCTGTTGCTGCTGTTTGTCCTCCTCCTTTTCCTCCCGCTCGTTCTCGTGCTCGCACGTCGCTCCTCTTGTGCGCGCAGCTCCTTTTTTCTCCGATTGCCCGCAACACGAAGCGTGGCCTTTATGTGTGAGTCGCAGGTCGGCTAGGACACGCATCCGCCGATAGAGAACACCCAGCGCCATGGGAAGGTAATGGGGGGAGGGATGGGATGTCAGGCGAGGCGCGAGCGTACCTAGCCTGGCCCTCCCCCCCTCTGTTCCTCCTCCTCTTTCTTCCTGTCATTCTATCCCTCTTCTTTCTCCTCGTCCTCGTCCTCCCCTCCTCCTCCTTCTCTTCCTCCTCCTCCTCCTCCTCCTCCTCCTCCTCCTCCCTCCTCCTCCTTCCTCCTCCTCCTCCTCCTCTCTACCTCCTCCTCCTCCTCCTCCTCCTCCTCCTCCTCCTCCTCCTCCTCCTCCTCCCTCCCCCCCCTTGCTCCCCCATTTGGAAGGGAAGGTTGGGGCGGGCGACCGGCGCCCGCAGCCATCGCGCGCCCTGGGCCCCTCCGCCCTCCTCCGCCCGGCGCCTGGTCCGACGCGCGCGTCGGCGACGATGGCGGCGACGACGCTGTCGCGTCGCCCTTGCCCCTCCTCTCCCCGCGTCCTCGCGATCCTCCCCCCTCCTCCTCGCCCTCCCGCCTCCCCGCTGGTGCTGCTCCTCCTCTCCCTCTCTGCGCACCGCTCTCCGCCCCCCCCCTTCGCCCGCCTGCCTCTCCCCCCCGCCTCCGCCATCCCTCGTCCGCCTGCCCCCCCCCCGTCTCCTCAGCGTGCTCCGGCTCCCCCCTCCCCCCGCCTGCTCCTCAGCCCCCCCCCCCCTGCCCCACCTCGCTTTTCTGTGCTGCCCCTGCTCCCTTGTCACCGTCCTCCCCCGCCGCTTTCCTCCCCTCTCGCCTCTGCCGCCTCCTCCCGTCTCCCGTCCTCCTCTCCGAGGGGGGGCACGAGGAGGGGGAGGAGGAGGAGGAGGAGGATGAGGAGGAGGAGGACGAGGAGGAGGAGGAGGAGGAGGAGGAGGAGGAGGAGGACGACGACGACGACAGCAGCGGTCTCGGGAGGTCTCCAGAAGTCCTCCGAAGTGTCTGGACGCCTCCGGGTGTCCCAGGGTCCCAGCGAGGCCAGCGCCGAGAAGCCGCCCGAGGGCCCCCGCAGACGCGCAAGAGCCTCGAACCTCGCGACTGGATCTACGAACTTCCATGGTCGAGCGACGACAGGGACTACGGCGACGACGGCGACGGCGACGGCGACGGCGGCGGCGGCGGCGACGGCGACGACGGTGGCAACGAGGACGGCGGCAACGACAGAGACTGCGGCGGCGACCGCGACGGCGCTCGGCGGCGACGACCACGGCGGCGACGACGGCGACGACAGCGGCGGCGGCGGCGTCGGCGGTGACGACGTGGGACAGGACGAGGAGGAAGAGGAACACGAGGTTGTAATGTCGCTTCGCGCTGCTGCCAGCAGCCAGGGAGAAGTCATCCTGCTGCTTTTAATGTATAATATCGGAGACTGGAGCGTATACATTCCCAGTGGCGGGCTGTTTTTCAATTCCAGGGCTTTTGTTGGGGGTCAGGGACGACGTCGAAGCGGTGTGTTGTACATTTTCCCCCGTTTTCCCGGGGAAGCAACGAAACTTGTACACACACACACACACACAAGCCAGGATCCCGTACACACCAGGGTTTGCTTTCCTGTGCGAATATATCGGTGGGGGGCCGGAGAAAACGTTGGTGTGTAGAGTTCGGCTCCCAATCAGAGAACCAGGAGGAGGAGGAGGAGGAGGAGGAGGAGGTGGAGGTGGCCGAGGCGACGACGGCAGGAGAGGTGCGCATAGCTTCGGGATCGCCGTCATCGGCCATGAGTCAGTCGGTCAGGTGGAGGTGGAGGCCGAGGTCGACGGTCGACAGGCGACAGGCGACCGCCGCGGCGGTGGCGGGGCAGGAACTCACCGACCTGCTGGCGGGGGGCGACCGCTCCCCGCAGGACCAGAAGCTCGAGCTGCGGGAGACAGGCCGCGCCCCGCCGCGGGGATGGGTCCCTGCCCTCGGGGGCGGCGCCGCCGTCGCCGCCGTCGTCCGCCTCCTCCTCGAGCGCGTGGTCGTGTTCCCTCCCCCTCCTCCCTCCTCCTCCTCCTCCTGCTCCTCCTCCTCTTCCCTCCTCCCCCTCCTCCTCCTCTTCCTCCTGTTTCTCCTCCTTCCCCAAGCAGTGCTTGCACTGAGGGATTCTCACTTCTGGTCGAAGGGGCTGGGCCTGCGGGCTGGTCTGCCGGCTACGTCGCCGCCCCGTCGCCGCCCCGTCGCCGCTTCGTCGCCGTCCGTCGTCTGGGCTTGCGGGTCGCTCTGGCCGCCATGTGGCCGCCCCGTCGCCGCCCCGTCGCCGCCTCGTCGCGTCGCCCGTCGGCTGGGCCTGCGGGTCGCTCAGGCCCTCGTGTCGCCGCCGTCGCCGCGGCGTCGCCGACCGTCGCCCTGGGCCTGCGCGACGCTCTGACCGCTATGTCGCCGCCGTCGCCGCCTCGTCGCCGCCCCCTTTCGCATTATTTTGCATTGCTTCGCCTTGCTTTGCATTGGTTGGCATTGCTTTGCGTCGCTCTGCGTTGCTTTGCACTGTGTTGCGTCACTTTGCACTGCGTTGTGCCAGCTTGCATGGCGTCTGACTGCTTTGCCTTGTGTTCCCTCTTTTGCTTTGCACTGGTTTTGTACTAGGTTGCATTGATTCGCAGCGCTGCTTTCGCTGCGTTGGTGTTCAGCGTTATGTATTGGTTTGCAGTTGGTGTCAGTGCTTCGCAGTGCTGTGCTTTTCTTTGCATTGCAACACATTGCTTGGCATTTCTCGGAAGTGCTTGGCATAGCTCTGCGTCACGTTGTATTACTTTGCGAGTTGCGTCGTGTTGCGTTGCTTTGCAGAGCTTCGCGTTTCATTGAGTGGCGTTTCTCGCTTCGATTTGTTTTGTATTGGTTGATGTGGCGATGCGCATTGCGTTTCGCTGCTTCGCATTGTTTTGCGTTGTCTATTGCGTGGCATTTCTCTGCATCGCTGGGCATTCTTTGGTATGGCCTTGCACAGAAGGGAGGGGAGAGCGAGGAGGGGAAGAAAGAGGTGGAGGAAGGGAGGAGACGGGTCTTGAAGAAGGGGAGGAGGAGGAGGAGGAGGAGGAGGAGGAGGAGGAGGATGAGGAGGAGGAGGAGGAAGAGGAGGAGGAGGAAGGGAGGAGACGGGTTCTGGTTGAGGGAGGTCTGGGCTCACAGGGCACCCAGACGGTTCGGGGGGTTCCGCGGCTCGCGGCCAGAAACGGGAATGGGAATGGGAATGGTCAAATGACAAAGCCATAACTAATTAAGACCATCTCCACTCAGATGACGAAGGAGCCGTGTACAACTGGTACTGGTGGAAGATGGAGAGGAGGATGAACACAAATGAAGTGAATTGAAATGAAATCCCCTTCACCAGAGCTTTCACACAGGATCCCAACAGATACAAATGGAACACTGCCGCCAAAGTGACGTGTGCAACAGATCCACGGATGGACGGGGGATGGTTTTCATAATGCTGTTCTCGCCGTTGTTCCGCGCACATGGATGGAGGTGGTTGAATTGCTTCTTCAAAGTTTGCAGCGGCTTAATGGATGGAGGGCGGGCCGTTTTGAAAATTCGGTTCTCGCTACAGCGCCGCGCACATTCGCCTGTGTAGAGCTTGCAGCATCTTCACCGGTTGAGGGCGGGTGGTTTTCAAAATGTAGTTGTCGCCCTAGCGCGGCTGATATCCGCTTGAAAGTTTGCAGTAGTTTCGTGGATGGAGGGCGAGTCGTTTTGAACATGTGGTTCTTGCTGTAGCGCCGCGCACATCCTACAAAGTTCGAAACGGTTTCATGGATGGAGGGCGGGCCGTTTTCAACATGTGGTTCTCGCTTTAGGGCCGCGCGCATTCGTCTGTATCAAGCTTGCAACAGCTTCACGGGTGGTGGGCGGCCCGTTTTCAGAGTGTTGTGGTTGCCCTAGCGCCGTGGGGATTCGTTTTAAACATCCGCAACAGTTCCAAAGCGCGCCGCTCACATGTTTTAGATAGGCTCGGGGCAGCTTCAAGGATCCGTATGCCTGACGTCTCAGGGATGGGTGCCTGGCACGGTTTACGCTTGGCAGGGTGCGGGGGTCACGTTGTCTCATTGTATTGGAGAGGCCTGACGGCCGGTGCCGCCGACCCTGATCGAAAGGGCTAGGAGTGGGAGGAGGAGGAGGAGGAGGACGAGGAGGAGGAGGGTCACGTTGTCTCACTGTATTGAAGTTCAGGAGTGGTGTCCTGGCACGGCTTCGGACTGTCACGGCGTAACAGTCACGTTGGCCCGCGGCGTTGAAGGCCCAGGAACTTTGTGTGCTGGCGCAAGTGAGGGTTCTCAGACGGTTGCCTTCGAATGGGCCACTTCCCCGAATGAGAACAAGTTCCTCACGCTGCGCGTATCCTCGCCAGCGTGCTTGCGTCCCCATCCGCTGGGCCGCCTGCGTCGGTCCCCAATGAGGGTCACTTTGTCCCTGGCATGTGCACTCGCTACAGCGGCCTATGCGCCTCTGCAGCCAATTATCTCGCTCTGTGGCCCAGACGTTATTCCCGCTCGCTGGATCGGTCCTTCGAGCCGCCGAACGAAAAAAGTATCCCCGCCAGCTTCTTCGCTTGCCTTTCTTTTCCTGCTGACTAACTAGTCGTGGCCCAGCTAGTGTTCGGACGGCTTTCGACCCGCCTCGCGAGCCTGTTGACCAAAAAAGTATCCTCGCCAGCCCAGTCAAAAACCTTGCCCATGAGAGCTGACGGGAAAAGGGACGAAGAGACACATACATGTAGTTAATCAAAGCGGGCAACCGGGTTGAACAGAGATCTTCGGGAGCAAGTGGGTGGCCTTGAAGAACATTCTCGGGCCATCCTTGAGGCCCGCATAGGCGAGGGGAGGAGGAATACGACGGCGACGACGATCACGAAGACGAGGAAGAGGAGGAACAGGAGAAGGAAGACGATGAGGGCAATGACGAGGACGACGAGGACGACGAGGAGGAGGAGGAGGAGGAGGAGGAGGAGGAGGGGGAGGGCGGGGAGGAGGACAACGGGGACGAGAACCCACCGAGTCCTCCTATGATGGTATGGATTAGGACGAGGAGGAGGAGGACGAGGAGGAGAACAATGAGGAGGACGAGGAGAAGGAGGACTATGGCAGCAATCTTGGGGTCTTCTTAGGGCCCTCTTGGGGCTTGTGTGGGGCCCTCTCAGGATTCCTTTTTCGGAGATTTGGGATCCCCTTGGAGCTTTATTGGGGGTTCTGGGGGCCTTGTTGGAGCCATGTTGGGGGCTTTTTGGGAGTCCTGAAGGGCCTCTTGAGGCCATCTCGGAGACCATCGATAGACTCGGAGTGGAGGGGGCTATCTGGGCCCTCCCCAAGAGCCATCAACACATCGCCTGTTGGAGGCCACGTGCTCCGGCCATGTATGGGGCCGTCCTGAGGCCTCAAAAGGGCAAATCGGAAGCGAAACGGCGATGAGGCAAACATCATGGATTCTCCGGAGGTGTTTGATTGATTGCTGCCTCTTTGGGCGGGGTCCGAATGGGGCATTCGGGCGCACTCGGAGCCGTCTTGGCGCGATCTCTGGGGTCTCTTGGAGCATGTTGCAAGCCATCTTCAGCCATCCCATGTTGGAGCATCAAAGGCCCTCTTGGAGTATTCTTGAGCGAAAAAGGACCCTCTGCGACCTCGCGCGCCCCCCCCGTCCAGACCATGGGGGACGGCCAGGGGCAAACACCTCCCCGAAGGGGAAGAAGGGGAGTAAAAAAGCAAACACCCTAAACCACCTCCACCTTTTGTAAGGATCTATGAAGAGGGAACTTGGAGGGATGGTTGATTGCAAGATCTTCGATGTAGCTTGGGTTTGTACTGATACTTCTCCTTTCGACCTCTTCCTTCAGAGCCGCCAGCACCTAATATCCGTTCATATTCATACTCATCATCATCATCATCACCACCATCCTCATCATCATCATTATCATCATCATCATCATCATCATCATCATCATCATCATCTCCATCATTATTTTCATCATCACCATCATCATAATCATCATCATTACCCTCATCATCACCATCATCATCATAGTCATCATCAGCATCATCATCACAATCATCATCATCATCACCACCATCATCATCATCATAATCATCATCATCATCATCATCATCATCATCATCATCAGCATCATCATCATCATCATCGTGATCTAGAGTCGTCATCATCACAACCATCACCCCCATCATCTGAAATAGTATTTCCTATCTCTCGTCCTCCTCATCCACCTGTAGGCCACACGTTCTGGCACCGAGGTCAACTCGGGGGAGCGCAGAGATGTCTGTTCTTTAGCGGCAGCACTTTGCGTGTCTTACCACTGACCATGCCACACTCTTTCCAAAGGCTGCCTCGTTGCCCCGGTCACCATTCCTCTCCGACGGTCCCAGTCAGATGGGATCGTGCCTAGTCAACGGCTGCCCTTTTATGGGGTTCGCACTTCCACTCTTTCGTTTTTTGTTCTGTAACTCAGACCCCCCGACAACACATGATGGCTCATAACCTCGACACCCAGAGGTCTCGACCCATTCCCCAGGACAGTTTTATCATGCTGAGTCGTCGTTTGGTGGTCACGGGGCCCAGTGAGGGCCCCCAGAGGCCGAACGCAGCTGAAAACCTCCAGCCGTATTTTTTTCATGGCCGGACAGGGGGGTCTGGCCATTCGTCTTCATGGTGGCTCTGGGGGCATGGGGCGCTGGCTTCCGGCGTAGCCCCGCATGCCCTCTCAAGAGGAGGAGAAGGAGGAGGAGGAGGAGGAGGAGGAGGAGGAGGAGGAGGAGGGAGGGGGAGAAGGAGGAGGAGGAGGAAGGAGGAGGAGGGAGGAGGAGGAGGCAGAGGTCCCCGACCTGGCCCCATCTTCGAAAGCAGGCCCTCTCCTCTCTCAGCCCGTCGTGCTTCCCGCGCGCCGGGCTCTCTCGGAGCACCGCCCTCCTGCAGCCAAGCCTCGGGGGCAACGATAGAGGGGGATCGGCACAGGGGGGGATGCAGCGACCAGCCCTGAGATCCTGGCGACTCGATTTTTTCGAGCCGGGCATTTCCGCTCTTTTCGGGTTCCAGGGCCCTCACAGATCGATCTGGCTCGAAACATGGCAGAGAAAGATGGGGTCCGGGGTCTGGTCGCGATTTTTTGCGATGTTGCAATTTTTCTGCATCGACCCCCAATCGCCCAGTGATCGCCGATAGGGGCCCAATAGCCCCAGCCTGCCCGGGAAGGTGCGGAGTCACTATCGGAGGCCTATCACCGAACTATCGGCGATGCATCGCCGATTCTCTCTTATCGCTGCCCAGCAAAGCCGCTGAGATCAAGAACGGTGGGTTTGGCTGCTTCTCTGGCGCTCCTCGTCCACGCAGGCTCTTTTGGGGCGAGAAATGGAGCTTCGTTCCTTGTGTGGCGCTCCTGATGTCCAGCAGCCCGGCTGTCGTCCGGGGCCCCCTCCCCCTCCTCCCGTGCAGCTGGCGGGGGCCTCCCCGGCGGAGGAGCACGAGGAGGAGGAGGAGACGGGAGGAGGCTGACCCAGCTGGGCCACCATTCTTTCAGCGCCTCCCTGCATTACCGTCTCCTGCCCCTCCTCCTCCTCCTCCTCCTCCTCCTCCTCCTCTTCCTCCTCCTCCTCCTCATCATCATCATCCTCGTCCGTCCGCGGCTCAGTGTGTGCTGCTCGCTTCGCCCAGGTCGGCCACGTGCGTTTTTTTTTTCCTCGCGCGCACGGGCGCTTCCGCCGAGCGGCCCGCGCCCGCCGAGAGCGCCAGAGGAGGCTGGCCCAGGCCTCCGACGCCGCGGCCTCGTGCTCACGGCCTGGGCGCCGGGCGGCCTTGGATTGAGGCTCGCTGGGGGGCTCCTCCTGCTCCTCCTCCTCCTCCTCCTCCTCCTCCTCCTCCTCCTCCTCCTCCTCCTCCTCCTCCTCCTCCTCCTCCTCCTCCTCCTGGGGGGCAGCGAACGCGATCTGTGTTTCTGGGCCGACGGGGGAGAGGGCAATGCTTCTGTTGGGCAAGAGCAAGCATGAGCAGCCCGATCGTCGGCACGAGCAAGCCTGAAATCAGAGCTTCTCGCGAAGGGCTGCCGGAAGGATTGCCGTTGACCGATCAAGCTCGCCCGCCGAGCGTAATTACGGGGATCTGGCCCTCGAAGCAACGCTGCCCCCCCAGCGACCTTCAAGTCTTGGACCCCAGCTCCCCAGGAGCTGTACTCCAAATCCCTTATTCATCGACCCCCCCCTAAAACATCGGACCCCCCTCCAAAGGCGATCTAATATTCCGGACCCCCCTCTTCGACGGGGCGCCTCAAAAAACCAGACCCGGGGGACGATTCATAAGGGATTTGGAAGTATATTCCTGCGCGTCTTTCGAAAACACTGGGGCCTGGTGAGGGCCCCGGGAGGCCAAAGACGGCGAAAGTTTGTCGTGATGTCTGTCACGTCGAGAGGAGGTCAGAGGAGGAGGAGGAGGAGGAGGAGGAGGAGGAGGTTGAGGAAGGTAGGAGCCTGCGGACGGTCTGTCGATTGTCCTCCAAAGAGCTCGTCATGCAAGCTACAGCCAGGGGAGTGCGACAATAACTGCACCATCCCAGCAATGCGATGTCTTGTCTTTTTCAATGCCTGGTCCCCGGAAGTCCCGACCCTCTTCCCTGGGCGGGCTTTCCAGCCCGAGCCGTTTTTGACGGTCCTGCCCGGCTCGGGCGAGAACTGCACCAAGCCTCCCGCCGTGTTCCTTGAACGACGGGCGCGTGTCTGGGATCAAAGCTCAAAATGCCCGATGTGTTGGCTGGGGGGAGGCGCTCCCTTCGCCCCCCGGCGAAGGGCGCGGCGTCTGCTGCACCGGGCTCACGGAGCACCTGGTGTCGACGGTGGCGGAGATCCAGGACGCCTGGTGAGCCCGTCGCCCCGGAGAATCCAGGGTGGATCCAGAATCGAGGATCGAGGATCGAGGATGCAGAATCGAGGTTCGAGGATCCAGAATCGAGGATCGAGGGTCGAGGATCCAGGATCAAGGATCCAGGATCGAGAATCGAGGATCGAGGGTCGAGGACCGAGGATCGAGGACCCAAGATCCAGAGTCGAGGGTCGAGGACCGAGGATCGGGGGTCGAGATGCGAGGATCGAGAAGGAGGATCGAGGACCCAGGACCAAGGAGGAGGGTCGCGGCTTGGGGCGCTCTTTTGTTTCTGCCCCCAGGGAAAAAAAACAACATGCCTCCTTTCGTCGTGATTCCATCGCCGCGGGCATTCATGCGTACGTTTCCAACCACCAGTGGCTTGTTCTGGGCCCCCGTGAAAAAAGCTGCCCGGGATACATATATATATATACATATAATGATGTATTTATACATCTATTTGTATATTCATATTTATGTATATATACATACATAGATACATATATGAGAAAAAACAAGGTCCAAGGCAAACGGTGGAGACCCCCTTGGATCCGCGCTGCGGAGATGCAGCACGACGTCGGAGGTTCGGGGGGGCCCTGGGGGCCTCTCGAGGCCTGCGCGCGGACCGCGCGCGGCCTCCGGGTGCCTCAGAGGATACACCTGCACCCCCCCAGCCCCTTCCTCTTGCTCCTCCTCCTACTCCTCCTCCTCCTCCTCCCTCTCCTTCCTCCTCCTCCTCCTCCCTCCTCTCCTCCTCCTCCTCCTCCTCTCCTCCTCCTCCTCCTCCTTCTCCTCCTCCTCCTCCTCCTCCTCCTCCTCCTTCTCCTCCTCCTCCTCCTCCTCCTCCTCCTCCTCCTCCTCCTCCTCCCCTGAGCCCCAGCGTCACGCCGCGTAGACTGGGCGGGGCGAGAGGAGGGGGGAATGCAGGGACCAAGGATACGAGATGCAGCATCACAAGGGGCTCCACGACGGCCGCGACAGCGGCGGCAGCGACGGCGGTGGCGGCGAGGACGAGGACGAGGACGAGGACGACGAGGACGAGGACGCGGACGACGACGACGATCACGACGACGAGGACGACGGTCACGACGACGGCGATGGCGACGACGACGTTCACGACGACGACGACGACGACGACGACGACGACGACGACGACGACGACGACGGCGATGGCGATGGCGACGGCGACGGCGACGGCGACGGCGACGGCGACGGACGACGACGACGGTGACGAGGCCCACAAGAACGTTCACGACGACGTCCACTGCACGGAGGACGACGAGCAGGGGATGTGAGGGAGAAGGAGGAGGGTTTCTCCGACAGGCTTAGGCGACCCGTCCTCCTCCTCCTCCTCCTCCTCCTCCTCCTCCTCCTCCTCCTCCTCCTCCTCCTCCTCCTCCTCCTCCTCCTCCTCCTCCTCCTCCTCCACCTCTCCTCCTCCTCCTCCTCCTCCTCCTCCTCCTCCTCCTCCTCCTCCTCCTCCTCCTCCTCCTCCTCCTCCTCCTCCTCCTCCTCCTCCTCTCCTTCTTCCTCGTGTCGCCTACGACAACCGTGCATGAGGGGGAGAAGGAGCAGCGAGTCAGGAGTAGCAGCGTGCTGCGCCGCCTCTGCAGCACCGCCACCGCTGTCGCTACTGGCGCCACCACCACTGGCACCGCTCAGGGTCCCCTAAGCGAGAACCCGTGAGACAGGATACCGGCGCGCCCGAGAGAGCTGGAGCCCTGGATCGAAGCAGTCTCCATTACGCACTCGTGCTGGGAGAGCGGAGCACCCACGCTCCAGAGGGCAACGGGGCCTGCGGCTTGCAGCGGTGGGCGCTCGGCTGCCCCAAGACGCAGCACGCAGCCCGTGCAATGTCGGCACGGAGCTCAACACGCAGATTGCATATTGAGCACGTAGGTCTGGGCGGTACGTTCGCCAACACGGCACGTATTGCGTTTCAAGTCGGACGTACCAGGATAGTTGAGGGTGGGCGCTGCAGCGCCGGCAGTGGCCACTGTGCAGTTTCTGTCAACCATGCGGTAGCAGCTACAGCGGCGGCAGCAGCGGTGGTGTCCGCAGTGGTGGCGACAGCTGCGGTGGGATAAGCCCCAGCCTACTGAGTCCAGAGAAGTCCCGAGCCTTTCCCCGAGGCCGGTTTCTTGTCCCGAGCCGTTTGTTGACGGTCCCGAGGCTCGGCGAGGGCCCCCAGAGGCCGAAAACGACAAACAAACTGCCTTCTGGTGTTTTGTTTCGCTGCTGTCCAAGACCCGGCAATTCGGCAGGCTGGGGCGGCGGCTCCGCCGCCGCCTGGCCCTTCCTCCGTCCTGAGCAGGAGCACCGCGCCCTCATGGAGGGAGGGTAGTCGACGAGCACGGCATACACATGAGCTTCCAGAGCTCGGCGCGGATCTCTTGGATCGGCGCTGGGCCACCCTATGGCGGCGCCTCCGGCGCCGCTCCGAGGAATCCCGGCGGCCCTCCGACGGTTCATGTGTGGGCCGCCGCTTGTCCGCTTGTCCCGCTTAACGCGGCGGCTTCCCGGGCATCGGCAAGATGGACGCTCTCCTCTCGAAAGAGGACCAGGGGGCTTCAAGCGGTGTGGTGACCACACCGCAGGCGGGTCTGTCATCGCACCGCTTCGGGATTAGGAGGAGGGAGGGGGAGACGTAGGCGGAGGAGGAGGAGGAGGAGGAGGAGGAGGAGGAGGAGGAGGAAAAGGAGGAGGAGGAGGAGGAGGAGGAGGAGGAGGAGGAGGAGGAGGAGGAGGAGGAGGAGGAGGAGGAGGAGGAGGAGGAGGAGGAGGAGGAGGAGGAGGGGGGGAGGAGGAGGAGGAGGAGGAGGAGGAGGCGAGGAGGAGGAGGAGGAGGAGGAGAGGAGGAGGAGGAGGAGGAGGAGGAGAGGAGGAGGAGGAGGAGGAGGAGGACAATGGCGAGCAGGGCGCCGGCGCGCCCTGCCTCCACCATGGCCCAGCGCGAAGCCGCAGCGGGCGCGCCCCGAGGGCAGGCCCGACGCAGCTGCCCGGCTTCGGCCAGGAGCTCTTTGCTCGCGGCGCTGGCGAGCGCAGGCGCGGGAGGGGGACGGAGGAGGGAGGAGGAGGGGGAGGAGAGGAGGAGGAGGAGGAGGAGAGGAGGAGAGGAGGAGGAGGAGGAGGAGGAGGAGGGGGAGGAGGAGGAGGAGAGGAGGAGTAGGAGGAGGAGGGGAGGGAGGGGGAGGAGGGAGGAGGAGGAGAGGAGGAGGAGGAGGAGGAGAGAGGAGGAGGGAGGAGGAGGAGGAGGCGGAGGAGGAGGAAGGAGGAGCGGAGGAGGTGGAAGGAGCAGGAAGGAGAGGGGGAGAGGAGAGTGAGGAGGAGGAGGAGAGGGAGGAGGAGGAGGAGGAGGGGGAGGAGGGGGAGGGGGGAGGAGAGGAAGAGGAGGGAGGAGGAGGAGGAGGGAGCAGAGGAGGAGGGGGGGGAGGAGGAGGAGGAGGAGAGAGGAGGAGGAGGAGGAGGAGGCGGGAGGAGGAGGAGGAGGCGGAGGAGGAGGAGGAAGCGGAGGCGGAGGAGGAGGCGGAGGAGGAGGAGGAGGAGGAGGAGGAGCAGGAGCCGAGGGCGTCTTGGGGGAAGCGCCCCGATCGCCCGACATCGCTGAGAAGGCGAAAAACACATTGGCGTTGACGCCCAGGACCCGCTCCACCAGCTGCGTCTCGCCGAGGCCCTCTCGAGGGGGCCGCGATCTTTCGAAAAAGGATCATCCCTTGGTGGCCTGAGCCCCGGGCAAGTTCCGCCAATGGTGCCTCTCCGAGGCCTTCTTAGGGCCTTGATGGCCCAGGCCCTTGAGCCCGCTCCACCACAGGTGCTTCGCGGCCTCCTTTCTCACGGGCGCCCTGGTCGCCCGAAGAAGAGGCAGATCGCCGATGTATCGGCGTTGCGGCGAGATCCTCCGACCCCGTCCATCTGGACCCCATCCAAGAGGCCTGTGAGGAGGACAGCAAATGCAGAATTATCCCAGTGCGACCCTACCTAGGAGTTGGAGCATGTAGGAAAGCAACATCTACATCTACACCGATAGCTACATGTACACCTACACCTTCATCTACATCTACATCAACATCAACAGCGAGACTCACATCTACATCTACATATACACCTACGCTCGGCTGCGCTGTGTTGTGCTAGGCTGGGCTATGCTACGCTACGATGCGCTATGCTATGCTATGCTATGCTATATTATGTTATGTTATGCTGCGCTACTATATGCTATGATATGATATGCTGCGCTATGCTATGTTATGCTATGGTAGGCTATGATACGATAGGGTATGATGCGCTATGATGTGCTATGACATGCTAGGGTATGCCATGATCTGATGCACTATGATATGATATGATATGTTACGATGTGCTATGATGTGCGGTGCTATGCTACGCAATGCTATGCTATGACATGCTATACTATGCTGCTCTATGATATGCTAGGATATGCTATGCTATGCCGAGCTATGCTATGATATGCTATGCTATGCTATGCTATGCGTGGCTATGCTATGCTATGCTATGATGTGCGAATGCCGCGCTGCGCTATGCTGCGTTGCGCTAAGCTAAGGAAGGTCCAGCTAAGCTAAGTTAAGCCAGACTAGGCTAAGCTAGGCTAAGCCAAGCTAAGCTAAGCTAAGCTAATATGATATAAGCTAAGCTAGGCTAGGCTAAGCTACGCTAAGATGAGACAAGCTAAGCTAAGCTAGGCTAGGCAAAGCTAAGCGAAGCGAAGCGAAGCTAGGCTAAGCTAAGATGAGATAAGCTAAGCTAAGCTAGGCTAAGCTCAGCTAAGCTTGGCTAAGCTGAGCTGGGTGAACCCAGGGGGCGCAACTGGGGGAACCGCGGGGCAGGGACTGGGGGAACCGCCTGGGGCGTTTTACACTGCCCGGCCCCTTTAAGCAAACAAAGTAAGAACCCTCTCGGCAGAGCCTAGGTAGGGAATAAACAGATGGCCAAACGAGCGACCAACGAAGACAGCTGCCTGCGGTTGGGTGCGGCCGAGCCTGCATATTCTCGACACTCGGATTCTGAAGGCATCGGCAGCTAAAAACGACGACCACGAGAACAGCGGCAACGGCAACAACGATACACCAAAGCGACCACGGGGACACCGGCCGCGATCACCTCGAGCGCTGCCGTTGTGATCCTTGCCTTGCCGATGCCACCCGCCCCTCTCCTCGGCGGCGAGCGGGCTCGCCGCTGCCGCTGTGATCGTCGCGTTGCCGCTGCCGCCTGCCCAGACGTCTCTGCACGACCCCCCCCCTCGGTGGCGAGCGGTCGCGCTGCCTGCGCCGGCGGCCTAGGAGCTCATGCGCCGGGCCCAGGAGCGCAGGTCCGTCCGCGAGACGCGGGCCAACGCCTGCAGCAGCAGGCGCGGGGGGGGCGCCGCCGGCAGCAGCAGGGCCGGGGCGCAGCGAGGGGCCTCGGGGCGTGGGAGGGCCTGGGCCCACCTTTTCCAGCTCCTCCTCCTCCTCCTCCTCCTCCTCCTCCTCCTCCTCCTCCTCCTCCTCCTCCTCTTCCTCCTCATCCTCATCCTCATCCTCCTTCTTATCCTCCTTCTTCTCCTCCTTATTCTCCTTATTTTTCTTAGTATGCTTCTTCTTCTTCTTATTATTATTTGTTCTTCTTCATCTGATTATTATTATCATTCTTATTATTCTTCTGATTTTTCTTCTTCTTCTTCTCCTCCTCCTCCTCCTCTTCCTCCTCCTCCTCCTCCTCCTCCTCCTCCTCCCCGCTCCTCCCCGCTCCTCCTTAGTCCTCCGCGCCTCCGCCCTTGCCCTCGTCCGGTGTTCCTTCCTGGGCCCCTCTTCTGTTGCGGAGGCGCGCCGCCCGGGCCGCCCAGGCGCCCGGGCCAGGGGCGCTGCCCCCCACAGGTCGGGAGGGGGGGTCGTTCGGGCGGTCCCCCCTCGGCCCTGAGCGACCGCCCCTTCGGCACCGCCCCGAACGGGGCCTACGAGGGCCCCTCTCCTGTTGCGGAGGTGCGCCGCGGAGGCGCCCGGGCCAGGGGCACTGCCCCACAGGTCAGGGAGGTCGTTAGGGCTGCTCCCGATGGGCCGGGGCCCCCCGCCCCGGGCCTACGAGGGCCCCTCTCCTGGTGCGGAGGCGCGCCGCGGAGACGCCGGGACCAGGGGCGCTGCCACAGGTCAGGGGGGGGTCGTCAGGGCTGTCCCTTCTTGGCCCGAAGAGATCCCCCGTTCGGGGCCCCCCGCGCCAGGCCTCTGATAGCCCTTCTTCCGTTGAGGGGGTGCGCCGCGGAGGGGCCTGGACCAGGGCCGCTGCCCCGCAGGTCAGGGAGGTCGTTCGGGCTGTTCCTTCTTGGCCTATAAAAGACCCCCCCCCCGCCCCGGGCCTCTCATAGCCCTTCTTCTGTTGAGGGGGCGCGGAGGCTCCTGGACCAGGGCCGCTGCCCCGCAGGTCAGGGAGGTCGTTAGGGCTGTTCCTTTTTGGCCCTGAGAGACCCCCCATTCGGGGAGCACCGCCCTGGACGGGGCCCACAAGAGCCCTTGTCTGTTGCGGAGCCTCGCTGCCGGCCGAGGCGCCGGGGCCAGAGGCGGTGCCCCACAGGTCAGAGGGGGCCGTTGGGGCTGTTTCCCCTTGGCCTGCTAGGTCCGCATTCGTCACGCCTGCTGCCCCCCCCCCCTCCCCCTCGCGCCCCCGCCCGCATCGAACCTCGATCCTCCTCCCTCTCTGGAGGTCTCCGGCGAACCACTCGTGGGGGCAGTGGGCGTGGGTCGGCTGACCTGAGGCGGCACGCTCGCGAGGATCCTGAGGCCTCGACCCTCGAACCTCGATCCTCCTCCCCCTGGAGGTGTCCGGGGAGCAGGACAGGAGGGGTGCGGAGAGCCCTCAAGAGGAAGTACTCAACCCAGACCCCCTCGAGTAATGAAAAAATCATGACGGGAGGTTTTTCCTACTTTTCGGCCTCTGGGGGCCCTCACCGGGCCTCGGGAGCGTCAAAAAACGACTCAGGATGCAAAGCCGGTCATGGGGAAAGGGTCGGGACCTCTGGGGGTCGACGTAATGAAAAAATCATTACGTCGGGGGTCTGGGAAGGAAGTACCCAAGGAGGTGCCCGAGGATGTACTTCCCGAGGTACGGCCGAAGACTATCACAGGGATCACCGGGACCGGTTCCCTCACGACCGCTGGCAAGCAAAAGGTGACTATTGGCACTTTCCCCCTGGTGCCAGCCACTAGTGGGTAGCTTTCTGCCATGCGTCGGACTTTGAGGATGGGCCCCGCTCTTGGCCGAATACTGGATTCGAACTTTCCTGCAAGTTCGCAGGCACCAGTGTTTCTCCCACGTCCGTTTGATCCTCAACGATGGATTTAGGTATTCGTAAAGCCTGTAGTAATTATCCTCCTCCTCGTCCTTCTCCCTCCTCCTCTCCACTCCTCCTCCTCCTCCTCCTTCCTCCTCCTCCTCCCCCCCCTCCTCCTCCTCCTCCTCCTCCTCCTCCTCCTCCTCCTCCTCCTCCCCCTCCTCCTCCTCCTCCTCCACCTCCTCCTCCTCCGCCTCCTCCACCTCATCCTCCTCCTCCTCCTCTCTCCTCGTAGAGAACTACACGATGATGTCTGATGCCGCCCCTCGCGTCCGTGCCCGCCCGAAAGTTGCACGGGGATGCACGATTGATGGACCTCAAGGGTTTTGGTCCTGTTTGGTCGGTCGGTCCTTTTGGTCCGCTTCGTTTTGGGTCCTGGGTCTCCGTCTCTCATTCCTTTTCGGTCTCTTTTCGGTCCCTTCGCAGTTCGGGGACATTCGGAGTCAGGGCTTGACGTTGATTCACGAGCCCATCTAATCATAACTAAACGATGACATAGACATAACGACTCGGAGGTCCGCGCGGATTTCTTGGATCGGCGCTTGGCCCCCAGGCGCTTTTTCCTTCTGAGTACAGTCAACCCGCATAATATGGATGGGCAACCTTCCCAAGGGTACCTTTGCATCCTTGCCCTTTCGGCACACCCTTAGCGACTTTCGCTGGCCGTGCCCCGCTCGCAAAGCGTCGACATGGCCTTCCAAGGACCTTGCATCCTTACCGCGCATCCTTCTGATACGGGTTGACTGTAACTCTTGCCTGTCGCGCCTCCAGACGTGTGGACAGGGCGGGCCGGGCATGCTGCATCACCGTATCATGGTTTTATCATTTGAAAATTTAGCATACGTTTCACGGATGGAGGGCAGCCCGTTTCAACAGAGGGGCGTCGCGTCAGCGCCGCGCATAATTACTATAGGTTCACATTGGCATGCGTTTCAAAGATGGGGGTGGGTGGTTTTCAACATGTGGTTCTCTTCTCAGCCCCGCGCACATCTGTCGTTGCAGAATTTCGCAACAGATCCAAGGATGGAAGGCGGGCCCCTTTCAAAACGTGGTTTTCGCCTCGACGCCGCTTCATTGCATTCAGTTTCCAAGATGGAAGGCGTGTGGTTTTCAACATGTTCTCGCTTCAGCGCCACGCGCATAGTTTTACGAAGTGTGCAACGGTTTTTGTTGAGGTCGTTGCTTTTGTTCAAATGTCGCTCTCGCCGTAGCGTCGCGCACAGTCGCTTCACACGTTTGCAGCATTCTCAAGGATTCGTGTGGCTAGAATCCCGCGAATGGTCTTCTGGTACGAGTTAGGCTCCTCAGAGCGCAACCGACAGGTCCTGGCAATGTTTAGGATTGTCAGGGCGAAACAGTCGTGTTGATTCGCGTCGCTGACGTCCCTGGAATTGCGTTCGGGCGCGATGGAGGATTCGCAGATTGTTGTCTTCCGAAAGGGCACTTTTCGTAATGACATTCCTTCGCAGAGATTCAGGAAAATGGTGGAGGGTTTACTGCATCATCGTTGATGCGTCTTCGGTTTACACTTGTCTCTCCTCTTCCCCCTCCTCCATTCTCCTCTTTCCTCCTCCCTCTTCCTCCCCTCTACTCATCGCGCCTCTCTAGTATCATCTCTCCTACAGCTCTCAGATGGTGACTAACCTCGAGTTGCTTGCCTCTCCTCCTGCTTCCTAGAAGCAGCTTGGTGGCCCATGCCCAAGTGCCCTGATCCCCTGGGCCACCGATTGCTTCTCGTCGAAGGCGCCTTGGGGGAAGTGCCCCGATCGCCCGAAATCGTTGATGAGGTGAAAAGCACATTCGTGTCCGCGCCCAGGGCCCGCTCCACCAGCTGCGCCTCGCCGAGGCCCTCTCGAGGGCGCTGCGATGGTTCGAAAAGGGATCATCCCTTGGTGGCCTGAGCCCCGGGCCAGTTCCGCCAATGGTGCCCCTCCAAGGCCTTCTTAGGGCCTTGATGGCCCAGGCCCCTGAGCCCGCTCCACCACAAGTGCTCCGCCGCCTCCTTTCTCACGGGCGCCCCAGTCGCCCGAGGAAGAGGCAGATCCTTGCAGGGAGGCTCCATGTGGAAGAGTCCCAATGGTTTGTCTAGGCCTCCTAGATGTGGTCGGAGTAGATGGGATCGGAGCATCGCGCTGCATCGCCGATGCATCGGCGATGCATCGGCGATGCATCGGCGATGCGGCTCGATGTGGGGCCCAATTTTCTCCATGCCGACGTCGCCGATGCATCGCCGACGTCGCCAGTGAATGGACGATGCATCGGCGATGCATCGCCGATGTATCGGCGATGCGGCGAGATCCTCAGACCCCATCTACTCGGACCCCATCTAAGAGGCCTCTACTTCTAGAGCATACCAGAATTATCTTGGAGCGTTTCAGAGCGCTCTGGAACGGCTGTAGTTTCCGATGCATTCTCGAGATCCGTTGGCTCTCACAAAATCGCTTGAGGCATGCCAGATGCATGGACGGACTGCATCTATTTATATGCACACCACGATGCCTTCCCGTTGACCAGTTTGGGGGCCACATCTTGGAAATTCCCGACGTCGGAGAATTGGGTAATGGAGTCCGACGGGGCAATGCTGGGTGCGAGTGGGTTGTGCAGTTTACGTGCGCGTTGCCGGTGTTGGCGTGCCTTCGTGCTGATTTACGGTGAGCTCCGCTGTGCTGGAGTTTTGGTTTTGCACGCGTGAGCCTTCTCCTTTACAGGGCCACGGCCTTTCGTAAAGCACCCCGGAGCTTCGCTTCCAGGGGCCGCGACGCAGATGGCCGACAAAGGGCTCCAGACGACGACGACGACGACGACGACGACGACGCCGACGACGACGACGACGACGACGACGACGACGACGACGACGACGACGACGACCGCGGCGACGGCGGCAGCGGCGGCGGCGGCGCTGTCGCTGGCGACGGCGACGGCGACGGTGACGGCGACGACGCTTCCGAGGGCTTGCAGAGCCTCCGAAGGCCTGCGAGGGCCCACCCCGAGCTGACGCGCCCTGCCACGCCGCGCCGCTCCGCTCGCCCCCCCCCCGGTCGAGGAGGAGATCCTCCTCGACCGCCGATCCTCGATCCTCCCTCCTCGATCCTCGGCCCTGCCCTCCGCCTGTCAGGAGGAAAAGAAACACACAGACACAATTAATCCTCGATTCCCTAGGAAATATGGGAAAATATGGGAAGTGGGGGGGGGAAGACAGACACCCAGAAAATATGGGAAAATATGGGGAATGTTGTTTTATTTGTGTGTATTTATTTGTGTGTCCCAGGGCCCCTTCAGCCTGGGCCCCCCCCCCCCCTCTCTCCGCCGCCGCGCGGCCGCCAGGTCCCACTGCCTGTTCACCTTCAAGGTCTGCTGCCGCCAGGCGGCGGCGAGCCCACCGTGCCTCCGCGCCCGCGCGTGCGGCCGCGGCGCGCCCCTCTCTGTGCGTATCCTCGTTTGCGCCCCGCGGCGAGCCATAGCCCGGGAGCCTCCAGGAAGAAGCGGGCGGCACTGGGGTTCGCCAGGGGCCCCCCCTGCAACCGCCCGCCTAGCTCTCGCTTTCGCTCTATCTCTCTCTCTCTCTCTCTCTCCTTTCTCTCTCTCTCCCTCTCTCTCGGTGTCTATCTTGTTATTATGTTCTGTATTCTCCACATTCTGGGATGAGGTTCTTGTTCCCCATATCCGAAAGAGCGTGTTTTACCGCTGCTGGCGGAAAACCGAGCGGGGGTCACTACCGGTTCGAACCTCTCCCCCCCCCCCCTTCGGAAAACCGGGGAAAACCGGAAGGGGGTCACTACCGGTTCGAACCCCTACCCCCCCCCCCCCATCATGAAAAGGGGAGGGGGTCACTACCGGTTCGAACCCCCCCCCCCCCCCCCCCGTCGAAAACCAGGGGGGGGGTGCGGACAGTGGTGGGGACGGTGGTGGTGGGGACAGTGGTGAGGGGACAGCGGGACAGTGGTGTGGGGACAGTGGGACAGTGGTGGGGACGGTGGTGGTGGTGACAGTGGTGTGGGGACAGTGGGAATGTGGTGGAAACAGTAGGACAGTGGAGGGTACAGTGGTGGTGGAGACAGTGGTGAAGGCGGTGGCGAGGACGGCGGTGGGACAATGGGACAGAGGTACAGTGGGGACAGTGGTGGGGACAGTGGGGACATTGGTGGGAACAGTGGGACAGCTCATTGGGACAGCGGAGGAGTCAGTGGGACAGTGGGGACAGTGGGGATAGTCGGGCAGTGGTTGGGGCCGTGGAGAAAGTGGGGAGAGTGGAACCGTGGTGGGAACAGTGGTGGGGACAGTGGGGACAGTGCGACAGTGGTGGTGGCACTGGTGGGGACAGTAGGGGCGGTGGTGGAACCAGTGGGGACAGTGGTGGTGAGGACAGTGGTGCTGGGAACAACAGTGGGGGATGTGGTGCGGACGGTGGTAGGGACCGGGAGTCGTTTGCTGGCGGTGAGGGTGGGGGGGGGTTCGAACCGGTAGTGACCCCCCTCCGGTTTTCGAGGGGGGGGAGGGATTCGAACCGGTAGTGACCCCCCCCGGTTTTCGAGGGGAGGGGGGAGGGGTTAGGGGAGGGAGGGGTTTTGCCGGGGAAGGGGGGGGGGGGTCCAGCGGGGGGGGGGGGGATTTTCGGAGGGGGGGGGGACCCCCGGGTTCCGGAGGAAGAGGGGGGGGAATTTTCCACAGTAAAGCGGCGGTGGAACACGCTCTCTCCTATATCCTAAGACGGGTTTCTTGCCATTCCCCATATCCTAGGATAGGATGATTTTATTACTATGTCCGTGCGGACCTCCTCACCTCCTCCCTCTCTTCCGCATCCTACTCAGAGTATGCTGATGGAAATGATGAATGGTGATGGTGATGCTGATAAGATGATGATGATGATGATGATGATGATGATGATGATGATGATGATGATGATGATGGTGGTGATGCTGTTGATGATGATGATGATGCTGATGATGCTGATGATGCTGATGATGCTGATGCTGGTGATGGTGATGGTGACGGTGATGGTGATGGTGATGATGCTGATGATGGTGATGTCGATGATGATGATGATGCTGATGATGATGCTGACGATGATGCTGATTGTGATGGTCGTAATGATGATGATGGTCATGTTTTGTATGATGATGATACTGATGACGCTGATGATGATGATGATGGTGGTGATGATGATGATGATGATGATGATGCTGACGATGATGCTGATGATGTTGCTGCTGCTGCTGCTGATGATGATGATGATGATGGTGATGTCGATGATGATGATGGTGGTGGTGATGGTGATGGTGATGGTGATGGTGATGGTGATGGTGATGGTGATGGTGATGACGGTGCTGATGACCAGAGGGGGGGCGGGGGGCCAGATTGCAAGGACCTCTCGAGCGGTTTACTTGCTTGGGTGGCCAGACTCGTCTGCGCTCAGAGCAGATCTTGAGGACATCTCAGGCGGTTTGCTGGTTTTCGCACTCCTAAGGGGGGGCCGCCATGGGTATTGCACGGCCTCCATTCGCGCCCAGATTGGAGGGATGCCTCAGGCGGTTTGCCTAATTCGGTGCCCCAACATCCTTCGCTTTCGGAGCAGATTCTGAAGATTTCTCGAACGGCTTGCTGGCTTCAGCACTCCTAAGGAGGGGGGCCTCCAGGGGTATCTCACGGCCTCCGTTCGCCTCCAGATTGCGGGGATGTCTTAGGCGGCTTGCCTGGTTCGCTGCCCCAACATCCTTCGCTTTCAGAGCAGATTCTGAAGATGTCTCGAGCGGCTTGCTGGGTTTCAGCACTCCTAAGGGGGGGTCGCCAGGGGCATCTCACGGCCTCCGTTCGCGTCCAGATGGCGGGGATGTCCCAGGCGGCTTGCCTGATTCGGTGCCCCAACATCCTTCGCTTTCGGAGCAGATTTGGAGCATGTCTCGGGAGAGGCGTTGCTTTTCGCCCCCCAGGGGGCCCAGATGGCGAGGATGCCTCGAGCGTTTTGCTTGTTTGGGGGGCCAGGCTCGCCTGCGCTCAGAGCAGATTCTGAGGATGTCTCGAGCGGTTTGCTGTTTGTAGCGCTCCTAAGGGGGGGGTGGGGGCGCCAGGTTGCACGGCCTCCGTTCGTGCCCAGATTGCGGGGATGTCTCGAGCGGCTTGCCTGTACCGGTGTCCCAACATCCTTCGCTCTCGGAGCAGATTCGGAGGATGTCTCGAGCGAGGCGCCTGTTTCCGCCCCCCCCAGGCGGCCCAGATTGCGAGGATGTCTCGAGCGGTTTGTTTGTTTTGGCGGCCAGACTTGTCTGGGGGACGCCACGGGGTATGACACGGGCGCGTCCGCGCTCAATTCTTACTCCGACAGCGCCGAGAGTCACCTTCCTTCTCCCTCCTCCCTCCTCCTCCTCATATGAAGTTATGGCTTATGTCGCGGTGTGTAATGATAAGGTACGGAATGTGATTATTTGATATGTCATGTTACGTTATGGTTCACTATGGGTTTGTTTATTATGGTATGTGGTGCTATTGATTGATATGGTATGGTATGCGATGGTATGGTGCGCTATGTGATGCCATGCCATGCCATGTTCTAGTATCATGGTGGCGATGATGATTGGTGATGATGATGAGGATGATGATGGTGATCATGATGATGATGATGAGGAGGAGGAGGAGGATGAGGATGAGGATGAGGAGGAGGAGGAGGAGGATGATGATGCTGATGCTGCTGCTGCTGCTGATGCTGCTGCTGATGATGCTGATGATGATGATGATGATGATGATGATGATGATGATGATGATGATGATGATGATGATGATGATGATGATGATGATGTTGGCTGAGCAAATTCTGAGGATGCCTGGAACGAGGCGCGGGTTTCAGCACCCCCCAAGGGGGAGCCGCCAGGGAGTATTGCACTCCCCCGTTCGCGCCACAATGGCGGGGATGTCTCGATCGGTTTGCTTGTTTTGGTGGCCAAACTCGTGGGCACGGATCCTCCCCAGGATGCCCCAGGATGCCACAGGAAGCTCCAGCAGGCTCCAGGGGGCCCCAGGAGGCAAGAGGCCACAGGATGCCCCAAGAGGCTCCAGGAGGCCCCAGGAAGCTCCAGAGGGCCCCAGGATGCCCCAAAAGGTTCCAGGAGGTCCGAGGAAGCTCCAGAGAGGCCCCAGGAGGCCACAGGAAGCGCCAGGAGGCCCCAAGAGGCCCCAGGAGCAGGAGGCCTCAGAAGGCCTTAGGAGTGGCTCGAATCCCATGTGCAATACATCTGCTCACATAGATTGTGCCTCCCCTGGGGTACGAATCCTTTGTGTATGACGTACGTTTCTATAGACTGTGTTTCTCCTGTGTATCCAATCCGAAGTGTTTTACGTATGTTCCTATAGATTGCCCCCTCCCCCCCTGGGGCACGATACCATGGTGTTTTACGTGTGCTCCTATACATTGCCTTTTTCCCTGTGGCTCCAATCCGCAGTGTGTTATGTGCGTCTGATCCTTAGATTGGGTTTTCCCCTGGGGCACGGATCCTCCTCAGGAGGCCCCAGGAGGCTCCTCCAGGAGGCCCCAAGAGGCTCCAGGAGGCCCCAGGAAGCGCCAGGAAGTTTCAGGAGGCCCCAGGAGGCCCCAGGCTCATGCACACAGACTCACTCGTACTACTGCGGCTCCTTCACACCCCAACCCATTCCCAGTCAGATTTACTCCCAGTCGATATATGTTCAAACCTCTTTAGATTCGACGTCCCTTGCGCCTAGGCGCCCGCAGCGGAAAGGTCCTTGCAGAGAGATGCACGTATGGGGAGCTCCACGCAGTGAATAATCATGTTGACCGCGCGGACCCCCCCGCCTCCGCCCCCTCTCCCCCCTCCGACCTAGAGTGTGATGATGCACGCAGAGTGCGATGATGCCGAATGATGACGATGGGAGTGTGGTGGCGACGGTGATGATGCAGATGATGAGTTATGCGGATGAAAACTGATGTCTCGTGCGAGGCGCTGGTCTGCGTCCCCCACGGGGCCCAGATGGCGAGGATGCCTCGAGCGTTTTGCTGGTTTGGGGGGCCAGGTTGCCTGCGCTCAGAGCAGACTCTGAGGATGTCTCGAGCGAGGCGCAGGTTTCAGCACCCCCAAGGGGGAGCCGCCAGGCGGTATTGCACGGCTTCCGTTCGCGTCACAATTGCGGGGATGTCTCGAGCGGTGTGCTTGTTTTCCAGCTCAGCATCCTCAGCTTTCGGAGCAGATTTGGAGGATGTCTTGAGGCGCGGCAGCGTGGACTCGAGCTCCGCTTCTTCCTCCTCCTCCTCCTCCTCCTCCTCCTCCTCTTCCTCCTCCTCTTCCTCCTCCTCCTCCTCCTCCTCCTCCTCCTCCTCCTCCTCCTCCTGCTCCCCCCCTGCAGGCCGTGGCCGACGGCGAGGTGGAGACCGTCGGCAAGCTGCACCTGGTGGACCTCGCTGGCAGCGAGTGCGCCCGCAAGGCCGACCGGGTAGATCTCGCCCCCACCCCCCCGCCCCCTCGGCGGGCGCTCGGGCCGGCCACGCGCAGGAGAGCTCATCGGGGGCGGCACAGAGAGGGGCGATGACTGGGAGGGGGTGGATATCATGGCGTGGGCCATGATCTCTCCTCAATTTTCATGGTGCCTCTTCTTATTTCATTGCGTCTCTGGCCCCCCCCCCTCCCTGGCCGCGCTCATGCCGCCGGCCATGATTTGCGCTCCCCCGTCTTGGACGCCCCCCTCTTTGGCCGCCCCCCAAGCTCAGGGGAAGAAGATGCACCGTTACCGCGACCCTTGCGTCGTTCTCGCTTCGTCTCGAGGGACTGACAGAAACGTGCCATGAACACTCACATGTTCGGGGCCCCGCGCGGACTTCTTGGGGCTGGCGCTGGGCCCCCCTGGCGGCGCCTCTGGCGCCGCCCTGTGCGCGCTCCGCGCGCCAGGGAGAGGGTTCCAGCGCGGATCCAAGGACGTGGAGGAGGAGGAGGAGGAGGAGGAAGAGGAGGAGGAGGAGGAGGAGGAGGAGGAGGAGCGCACCACAGGTCGACGGGATCCCTCGTGCGCGAGGCCGCGCGGGAGGCCCCTAGGGATGGAAGGCCGTCGTCGTCGTCCGTCGTCGTCGACGTCGGCGTCGGGAGGCCCTTCGGAAGGCGTCGGCGTGGGTCGTCGTCCGTCCGTCGGTCGCCCGTCGTCGGCCGTCGTCGGCGTCGTCGCCGTCCTTCTCCTGGCGGCGAGCCGAGTGGCCAGGGCCGCGCAGGGCAAGGTGGCGGCCTCCTCGGAGGCCAAGGGCGGCCGCTCAGAGTGGCGGAGGTCCGTGCCCTCCCCCCAGGGACAGCCCTCCCCCCAGGGACAGTGGCTGAGGACCCTGCCCTCCCTCCTCCACCTCCTCCTCCTCCTCCTCCTCCTCCTCCTCCAGTTCTCCCCGCCGTCATCCCTTCCCTTCGCGCCCACGGAGAGGCGGGGGGGCTGACGACAGAGGGTCACGCCTTCCAGACCCGCTGTCGTCAGCCACAGGCTGCGATGAGCATGCTGGTGTGAAGTCGGGCGTGTCCCTCGTACAGGAGGAGTGTCGAGCTCTCTTGACTTGTTTGGTTATGGTTGGCGATCTTTCAGGTTTCTTCCAGAATCCGCCTGTAGGAGGACAGGCCCGACCTAATGTTAGTGGTCGCCTCTTCCTCACCACGAAACGGTGCTGCTCACGACGGGGGGGGAAGTTTCGTGTGACGAGGGAAGTGGAAGGCAAAAGCGGGTGACGACTTGCGCTCCCCACCCGTTTTCTTTTCTCGTGCGACAGCTTGGATCACAGGTACAGGCAGGGTGCATGAGTGACGCAAGTGGGAGGCGCAAGTTGGCGGCCAAAGTGGGTGGCGCACTCTGATGGCCAAGGTGGGTGGGGCAGTCCGAAACCGAGCGTCGGCGGCGCAATCTGAGAGTGTAAGCGGGTAGCGCGGTCGCACCGATTCTCCCTTGTCTTCGCAATCCTCCCCCCCAAACAAAAAAACGTTCGTCCGTCCCGATGGCCGTCCAGCCCCTCCGCCCCAAGGCGGACGAGCGCGCCTTCGCGAGCGGCAGCGACATCGCCACCGCCAAGGGCGAGCGCGAGCGCAGGAGCGCCCACCGCCGCCTGCGCGCGCGCGGGAGGTGGGAGGGGGGGGGGAGGCGCGCTCGCGCGGCCCCGCGCCACGCCGCCCGCCTTGCGCAGGATAGTTCCCCAAGCAGTGCTTGCACTTAGGGGCTCTTCTATTTCTTTCTTGAGGGACGGGGCCTGGGTGGCGGTCTGTCGGCTGTCTTGCCGCCTCGCCGCCCCGTCGCCGCCCGTCGCCTGGGCCTGAGTGGCGGTCTGGCGGCTACATTGCCGCCGTCGTCGTCGCGTCGCTGCCCGCAAAGGTTGGTCTCCCAAGAAGGAATTCGAATCGACCTCCCCCTGCTTTATTGGCCCTCCCTTGGATAGTACGATTTACATATGATTATGCCCAACTGATCATGCGTATACATACCATCCCAGCCAAGCCGGTATCGTTACGCCCTCTCATCCCTGCCAAATAATATTATTCGCGCACTCGCTCACCAAATATCGAATAATTTCTTACACTGTCTTGCACCGCATGTGACAAAGTCCACGTGCGCGCGCCGTTGCGCGCGCGTGCCGATTTTCTCAACAGCCCAAAGCCCCGTAAGGATTCCAAGATCGAGTTCCCCGAGTTCATAGAAAGCACCCGTGCGGATGTGTCCTGTGGTTTTCGGCCTTCGGGGGCCCTGGCTGGGTCCCGGGACCGAGGAGGAGGAGGAGGAGAAGGAGGAGAAGGGGAAGGGGGAGGAGGAGGAGGAGGGAGGAGGAGGAGGAGGAGGAGGAGGAGGAGGAGGGAGGAGGAGGAGGAGGAGGAGCAGGAGAAGGAGGAGGAGGAGGAGGAGGAGCAGGAGAAGGAGGAGGGGGAGGGAGGAGAAGGGGACTGCCGGGGACACCGCGCTGAAAATGATTGCGCCGGATCTCTGGGTGCTGGAAGCAGCGCCCTGCCTCCTTCAGAAGCTCCTCCGCCCCTCGCCCAGCCCCCGGCCCAGAGCCCTTCCAGCTCGGCCCCGGGGGGCCGCTCCCGGCCCGCCGATCGATCCGCGCCCAGCCGCGGCCACGAGGGCGCCCTGGAGGCCCAGAGAGGGCCATTGCAGGTGCTGCGCTCTTGTCGCCTCGGCGGCGCCCCGCCGCGGCCACGGCGGCGCCCCGAAGGCCCAGAGAGAGAGAGAGCTGCACGGTAATTAGCTGCTCGTGTCGTGCCGATGCGGCGGCGACCCCGCCAGCGCCAGCGCAGGCGTCGTCGCGACGGCGCGTGCCTGCCGCAGAGATCCTCGACCCCCCCCCGCCACCGCCTCTCCGAGCTCCGCCGGCGGCCGCCGCTGGGCACCGGCTCGGGGTGGGTGAAGCTTCGAGGCTCGAGGTCTTCGGATGTCTTCGTCGGCCCTCGGCAGCTGTCCGGCCTCGGAGGGCACCAACTATACACCAACACCGATCTTGGCCAAGGGTGATCCTGGCCAGGATCGGTGTTGGTGTATAGTTGGTGCCTTCCTAGGGTGCCTTCAGTCGGCCGCGCCTCGCTGAGGGCGCTCCATGGGGTGCCCGGCTCGTCCCGACGAGCCGCCGAGGCCCGGCTGCGGCAGGAGGGCCACCGGAGACGGGGAGAGGCTCAGGGCCCACGGATCGCCGACAGTGGCCAGATGGCCCACGGATCGCCCAGGAAAGTGCGGCAGGTCCGTGTCGTGTCGACTGGCGGCGACCCCGCTCGCGGCGTTCCGCGTTGAACGTCGCGGGCGACCCAGAATCGTTCGATGTGGGAGGGTTAACGGTTTCGGAAACGGCCAATCGTGCAAGGCTGAACGAGCCCCGCGGTGTCAGAAACGAGCGCCGAAGTCGGCACGACAGAAACCTGCCGTCCGGATTGACCCGTTATCGGGTGCCCACCGCTGACCTAAGTATCGGCGACGCCTCGCCGACTCAAGGTCGAAGTCCCCCCCTGGAGCTGAATCCTTCCAAATGTGCCAGCTGATCCTCGTTGCTTGGTTTTCGGGTCCCAGCCCGGATCTCCGGCGACCTTTCAGGACGATCCGGGAGGAGGAGGAGGAGGAGGAGGAGGAGGAGGAGGAGGAGGAGGAGGACCAGCGCATCTCACTGAGTTATGTCTGTCTTGCGTAATGTACTTCCCCGAGCGCTTCCCGCGCTTCCTTGATGAGCATATCAAGGGTGATGGGGGGGCTGAAACAAGGCCTGCTGCGCATGCCTCCCTTGGGGTGGCGGCAGGTCTTGAAACAGTTCAGGGCTGCGACCTTATTATTGCTGGTGGGGCTCCCAAGGCATTCGCTCTTAAACGCCCTGGGGAAGAACTCGCTGTAAGCGCCACAAGCCCAGCAGGCCAAAAAACGCAGCTGTCATTCTCGAGACGGTTGAAAACATATGTGTCATGCCCGTGCCTTTGCTCAGCAAGGGCCGACAGGCTCGCACAGTGCCCAGGGCAGGTCTGGGCATCTCTTCTTACACGCGCGGCCTCTGAGCGTGCTCGGACTCGGCAGAGTTCGCACATCCAGAGGCCCTCATCTACTAGAACCCACTGATGGGCGCCTCCCTTTTCGCGGTCTCCCTCGCGACGATCGCCGCCATCGGCCCCAGGGGCCTCAGGAGGGTCGGAGGTCGGAGGCAGGAGGGGGGCAAGCAGGGAGGCGCCGACCAGGGGGGCCCTTTCGGGCTTGAAACTTGGCCCTTCACAGGCCTTGCTGCCAGGTTTTGGGGCGATCGCGGGCCAGGTGGGCAGGCCTTTAGCGAGGAACCGTAAAAACCGAAGCAGGAAACCATGGCTCGCGTCAAAATCTTGGGTATCCGCTGCCGAGGGCCCTCCAGCTTTACTGGCAGCAGCTTTAGCAAGTCTATCGGCTGTATCATTTCCCACGGCCAGGTATTTCTCCCTGGATCCGTTAGGTAAGGTTTCTAACTCCTGATGGGCTCTTACTTTACATATCCTAGGAAGGGCCCCCCCGCTGTATTTACCCTTTGTGAGCAGCTCAAACCCTGCATACATAGTCTTCCTATCGAAGCCCGCCTGGCCATACTTGGTTCTGGCCCCTAGGTGGTCCGAGTGAATGCAGGTGGCACGGGGACACATATAGGCGACTTCCATAGCAAGGTGTTCGGCTGCTGGCGAGGTTGCTGGCAGCAGCTCTCCCGTCTGTCCCGAGAGGTGCGCCTTGCATTCGCCGTCCTCGTCTAGCACGGCAACAACCCATCCAGGCTGGTGCCAGATCGGGGGTCCCTGTTTGAAACAACTTCCGTCAACAAAAGCTTCCCCAGCCATCGCGACCTCGAGCGGATCACCGCTTCGGGACCAGAACTCCCATGCAAAGCCGAAACCCTTGGGGCGGTTTATACAGGCTAGGGGCAAAAACTGGAAACCGTGGGCGAGGGGAGCTGCTCTGGGGTACCCTTCCATATACGATTCATCGGGGGGGGTCAGAATCTCACTCCTTAGGTTGAAGACCAGGAGGCACTCGAACCTATGCGTCATGTCGTATCTCTCGTACCCGCAAGGGCACGTCGTGTCAATGTCATATCCTGCTGCAGCAAGTCTAGTTCGGGTCCACAAACACTGGGCGAGGTAGGACATCAAGCTGCTCTTTTCGGAGTTGGAGAGGGAGGGATCGGCAAGTACCTGTCTGGCGGCAGAGGCGTCCAACCTTTCCTGCGGTCGACCCATCTTCTCTGCCGCCTTCCTCTCGAGGTTCGCCTTCCAGGCCTCCTCGAGATGAAACTTCCGAAGCGCTGGCGGCACACACGTGAGCTGGAGGATCAGGCCTTCGGAGGTCTCGATCTGAAAGGGGGTCCTCAAGGTCCAGTTGACCCTCTGGAGGCTCAAAAAGGGTGGCTCCTATGGGTCTTCGGCAGGTAGTCCATTTCTTGGGGGGGCCTCTTCATGGTGTTCGTGACTTTGTCGCGGAACTCGCTGTGCGTCACCCCCAAAAACTCTGGTTGCGTAGAGAGCCTCCAGACCATTAATCCATAGTAAATCACGGGCCCCAACGCGGCCTTCCACGCCGGATCTCCCAAGAGGCACAGACAGATGGAGCGGGACCTCGTGTGGCTTCGGGGCCCAACTGTGTTGAGATAGATGGTTTGGCTCTCACGGGCCTCCTTGTTTGTTAACCCCACCACTTCCGTTCCATAATGGTTGGCTTGGTCCAAGCCTGTTCGGTACAGCTTGCGCATGTCCGCTCCCGCCTGCTTTAGCGCCATCAGCTTGCGCTTGCGGGATCTCAACTTGGCAAAACGTGCGCTGAGTGTGGCTCGTCCTCGGCGAGATCGAGTCCGTCCTCCCGCCGTGTAATCGATACCTAGGTTGGCTGCCGAGTCTGTCCGCTCTTCCGTCTGGGGTCCTGCTAGTGGTCCCAGGGCACGAACAAGGGGTTTCCTGACCGACTGCGACGACGCGAGGATGGCCGATTTGTGTTTGGCGATTTTGCACCCCAGGTCGATTTCGATCGTCTCTTTCATGCTGGAGGCGGCGGGGGAGAGGTTCGCAACTAGGTTCTTGGGGCTCTTATCTTGGCTCTGGAGGAGGAGGTCATCTATGAACATGTGGAGGTCTATATTCGGATTGTCTTGGACCCAGACGCCGAGCGGGACAAGGCAAAACATCTGGGCGATGAACGTAGCGAAACTGCAGCATGCTGGAATTCCGTACTGCGGGCTGCCCACAAACGTCGCAAGACCTTGGCTCGCTACAAGCCTAGGTCCTCCATACTGATTATAAATCACGGTGGCAATGGCCTGGTTGAAATTGGTCCCGACAGATCGGGTAAACCACTTATCACAATCGATATGTTCGTAATAGTTCGAAAGGTCCCAGAGAATGGCTGCCGTGAATCTGCCGGTTCCTTCGTAGTGGGCCAATTCGGCCTGGAAAGCTTGAAGGTACACGGTTTCCAGGATTCCTCGGCCAGATTGGTGGGCCAGGTAGGGGCGTCGGTTCTTTGTTTCCCATTTTCTGGCGATGGGTTGTCGCATTCGGGCCCAGGTCCTCCAGATTGCTGTCATCAAACCAATGCCACGATAGCTAGGGTTCTCTGTCGCCTCCTGCTGTTTATGCTTGGGAATCAGGGTCGTGACGGTAGCTCTTGCCTGCAACGGGAAGATCCCCACCGCCTCGACAGCGTTGAGGAAGCGGGCGACGAGCTCACGCTCTGTCAGCGGCAGCAGGGAGAAATGCTTAGGGTGAAAGCCATCGTAGGTGGACGCCGTGTCGCGACTGAAAGTCCTGGAAGCCTGGAGAACATCTTCGGCGGTAATCGGGGGAAGCTCTCTTAGAGCCTCGGGGTCGGGGCGCTTCTGTCGGCCTCTGCTTTCTTGGGGTTCGGTCGTCCAGATACTGGCTAATCCACCGGCCTCGGCGAACAGCAGCTCGGGCGGTCGCCCTGACCATCTGCCTTCACCTTGTTTCCAAATTCTCTGAGGTCTCCATGTCGAAAGGGCTTTCGTCCATTTGTGGCCCCATCCGACCCCCCTTTTCATGCTGGTCTTGACCCAGTCTTTCCACTTGTTGGCCTCAGATGTTTTATCCCGTTGGATCTCTCGGCCCAGGGCTTCGTCGGCGTCATCGAAAACGCGTCGAAGATTTCGCGAGCCACGCCCAAATTCAGGTTGCCGTTCTGAGCATCCAGCAGCACCGTCTGGGCCGCGACCTTAATAGCTCCCAGGGGGGTCCCCAGGTCCTCGTTTTCGTCGAAATCGCCCGGGTGGGACTGGAGATCCTCAGAGACATTCTGCGAATCGAGGTTCTCGAAATCGTGCTTATCTAAGGCTCGGCGCATGTCCGTCAGCTTGTTCTTGAGCCAACGGAGAGGCCCCGTGAACGATCTCCAACTACATCTATGATGCCCTTCGGCTTCCCGCGCTGGTACCCATTTGATATGGGCCTCTTGGCCCCGAACTCTTTTGCCTATCAGGGGGGTATCCGTTATCTTGCTTATGTGGTCCACGAGGTCCGTCGTGAGCGTCTGGTAGGTTTCGTTCAGGGCACCTTCGAGCTCTCTGAAGTCCAGCTTCTGGGCCAGGAATCCTTTCATCTGGTCCAGGGCGGCGCCTGACTTAATCCATTCAGCAGTTTGCTTCAGAGGTCCCACGGGCGTCTTGGTCGGGAGCTTCTGGGGCTTAACCAGCACGGGAACTAAGAAGGGCGACCCCACGGCCAGATCGAAGTACACGGGCCTGTGGGGGCTGATTGGGGTACTGCTTGAGGACCACGGGCTCTCGCACGTAGTCTTTGAAACACTTGGAGACAAGGAAATAGTCTATGAGGGTATTAGCCTTCTTGGTGTAGAGGGTCGGCTCCGACGGAGCCAGTACACATGCTCCTGTTCTTGAACAGTAGTCGGAGCGGAGGAGCTTGGAAGGAGGGAGATTGAAATCGCCTGCTAGCACCAACGGCGTTCGGTGCTCCTGCGCCAACTGAGCGACCCGTGCCAGCAGGTCAAGGTTGGTCTCGTTCAGGCCTACCTTGTCTTCTAAATAGACGGAGCATAGGAGAAACCGAGCGTGCCCTGGCACCTCTAGAGCCACAGCGGCGACTCTCCCTGACGGCGTGTCGGCCTCGAAATTGATCTTGGCAGCCCCGAGATCTAACCCCTGACGTATTAGCATGGCGGTTCTTTGAATGACTGCCCCGCATTCAGAACGAACCCCTTCCGAGATTACGGCATGCCAACCCCGTTTCGCACACCGCTGGATAGCTTCCAAAATTTCGGCCCCTTGCGGCCTGGTTTCCTGGCAACAGACGATCTGGAATTGTCGGGCCTCCGAATCGGACATGACAAAAGTCTTGACGCTGCCCCGACAACTTCCGTTGATTGAAACGATTCGAATGTTACCCACCTGACTTGTTGGCCTCACCCGCTGCGCTGGCGGACTGCCCCGCCTTCTCCTGGGGTGCGCGCCTGCGGAGGCGGCGGGCCGCGTCGGCGGCCGCGGTCCCCACCGCTCCGTCAGCCTGGAGCTGGGTGGCCGCCTCGAGCGCCTGGGAGATCCTCTTGGCGCCCGCCGCCAAGCCGAGGGGCTCCTTGGTGTCCATGAGCTCCACGTCGTCGGTGTCGTGCCCCGCGGGCTTGTCGGTGGCCTGCTGCTCGATCTTGAGCGGCGGCGCGGCTGCCTGCGACGTGGCCGTCGCGCTGGCGCTGGTGGCGGCGGCGTCTGGTGGTTCGGCTGTCTGGCTCGCAGCGGCTGCTGCGACCCTGTTGTACTCGCTGTTGAGCTCCGCGGCCATGGCGTCAATCTTCGCCTGGAACTCGGCTGAGTAGGCCATGCCGCCGAACTTCTGCTGGATGAAGCCCGCGAGGGTGCCTGCTGCCGCTGGG